GCATTGACCTGTGGCCAGATTGTTCTCTATCTTCAGTATCTAATAAGACTTCCTACCATGTAGACAGTCAGGGGCCTATCTTCCTTTATTTCAAGGACTTTTCATAATCTCATTCTACACCCAAATACAGCTTTCATTTTCTCATTAGGACTGAAGACAGATGGGTGCTCTGACAAGGTTATAATTCGATGCTCCCTCAAACCAATTCATTCATATATTCATTCACTCAAGAAACATTTGTTGAGTATATTTTTGTGTTAAACACTGTTCTAGCCTCTTGGGATATAACTGTGAACAAAATAGACAAATATCACTGTTCACCTTCTAGTAGGAGAGACAGACAGTGAAAAAATTGATTAATGAATTAATACATTAATAATACCTTAGAAAGTGAGAAATGCTATTTAAGAAAAGAAAAATGTAGAGCACAGTAAATAATTCCATAGTTAGGGAGTACAAGTGACAATAATAGTTGTCCAGGGTACTTGAGAAGGCAAGATTTGAGCAGACTTGAAGGAGCGGAGTGAAGAAGGGTTAGTACGTGAGGGAACAGTGGTCTAGGAAGCAGAGAACCCATGGTGAGAACAGGCGGGGGGTGCACCAGACGCAGCAATGAGGGCTGTGTGGCGGGAGGAAATGAGCAACAGCACGTTGGAGAGAAAACAAGAGGCCACAGGAGGCTAGACCATGAGCGCTCTTACAGGCTATTGTGAGAAACTTGGCTATAACTCTAATGAAATGGGGAGCCGATGTGAGGTTTGGACATAAGAAGTACCATGATCCCATCTAGGTTTTAAATTAATCACTCTGGCCACAGTGTTCAGAATAAACCAGAGGGGGTTCTGGGTAGACACGGGAAGAAGTTAGGAGGCTGTTGGTATAATCCAGTGAGACGATGGTGGCATAGACCATGGTAATAACGGAAGGGTGAGGAAAACACTAAGATTCTGTGTGTGTGTGTGTGTGTGTGTGTGTGTGTTTTCAATAGTGTGAAATAAAACATAAAGAAAATATTTGAGTACATAAATAAAACAAAACAAAAATTAAAACATGAAAGTTACCATTTTAACCAGTTGTAAGTATACAGTCCTGTGATGTTAAGTACATTCACAGGTAGTGCAACGATTATCACTATCCATCTCCAGAACTTTTTCATCATTACAAACTAATACACTTGGATATATTTTTAAGGCAGAGTCAGCATACTTTCCCGACAGGTTGATTTGGTGTGTGAGAAACAGGAGTCAAAGGTGACACCAAGATTGTTGGTCTGAGCACCTGGAAACATGGATTAGCTATTGGCAAGCTGGAGAAGGAAAAGTAGAGCACATTTGGCAGGGAAGGAAGAGAAAGAGTTCAAATCAGATTTCTTCCTCTTAATTTGAAATGTCTACTAGACATCCCAGTGGAAAATTTGAGATTGCATTTGGATATGTAAATCTGGAGTTCATTAGAACTGGGTTAGAGGTATTATATTTAGGTGTCCCTGGCAGATAGATTTTAAAAAATTTTTTAAATTAAATTTATTGGAGTGATACTGGTAAATATGGTTATGTAGGTTTTAGTGTACAATGGGTAATCTACCTGATGGTTTTTCAGTCACCACAAACAATGAGACAATCAATAGAGTAAATAGGACGGAGAAAAGAGAAGAAACCAAAGGCTTTGGGACAGTCCAGCATTAGACCTAATCTAAGAGGTTAGGAAGGACAAGAGGAAAGCAGCAAAGAAGGCTGAGAAGAAGGAAACCCAAGAGGATGTGGTGTTGGATGCTTTTGAGAGGTAAAGTAAATCTAGGACTTAGACTTGACCATTGCATGTAGGGGTGTGGTTACTGGTGACCCCAGCAAGCCCAGTTTGGGGGAGAGGGTGGGGACAAAAACTTGAATGCGTTCAGAGAAAATGGGAGCGGGGAATTGGAGACAGCACGTAAAGACTGCTCCTTTCTAGACTTTATATCAATGGGGAGCCAAGCTGAAAGAAGAAATAAGATCGAGTGGTTTGTTTTGTTTTGTTTTTAATGGGTGAAGTAACAGCATATTTGCATGCTGATGGGAATGACACAGTAGTGAGAGAAAAATGGTGATATAGGAGAGGGAGGGAGTATCTTCAAAATTTTGAATTTGAAAACCTTCTTATGGGGTGTTGGCATAGCATTTTGCCACGATGTACATCATACTTTGACCTGCTTCACTTATTTGTGTGATCTATATTTTACTTTGCATCCTCTGGCCTGGATAGATACAGATGTCTGTAAGGCTGTAAGACAACACTTAAATAAACTGGTATGAATATAAGTTAAAACCACTCCTGCCAGAGTAGACAGAGACCTCAAATGCTAATGTACCCTCTTTCTAAGGAGTGTTTTTGGCAATTTGCTCAGTCAGATACTACCAGATAAAAATTGACACACAGTCAGAAGCTGTTGAAATCCAAACGCATAATAATACATAATATCATGCAGATTTTTGGGACTTAGTAATTTATTTATTTTAGTCTCCAGAAATAAACCTTGGGATGGTCCTTGAAAAATGAGTGGTTTCTGGGGACAGGGAAAGGAAGAGCGAGGGTAACTGAGTCAGGGAGGAGTGGTGAAACAGTAGTAAGAACAAAGACGAGTATTTGCCTGGGATTGCACGAGGACAGTATTTATTAGAAATACAGTCCACTGGACCACTAATGGGTCTGTAGCCTAAAGACTGAGTGATGGTTATGTCCAAATCAGGGAAAGGCAAATAACCAATACATGATTCTAGGTTTAGAAGGCCAACTTCTGTCAAAGGAAAGGGAACTAATATATATTATTTTGCTGAATTGCTTTATTCTTCTCCACCCTATTCTACTCTGGAAAGATGACCTGTAGGGATTAAATGGGGAAGCTAGCCTCCCTGCAGAGGTAGCCTGAAAGATAGTGCTGAAACACAACCCTTCCAGAACTTTAAATACATCAGTTTGTTCACTTCGTTAGGGCAAGACAGCCTCGGGCATTGCTGTCCATTGACTCACGGGCAATGGTAAAAAGTTGGCCTGCCGGTTGGGAACATTGAAAGAACAAGACCAGGAGATCAGTGCCAAGCAGACCTGGGGCAACGGAATGCATATGAAACTCTTGCAGTGGGGACAGAGTGGAAAGATACCTACGAGATGATTTTTTTTTTTTGTGGAGTCAGGCTTTTCTTGATTTCATTGGCGCTTGCTCAGTTGTTCTCTAAATACTCCTACAATGTGTCCCATAATTCAGAAGCAGCAGGCTTGATAGGACAGAGGAAGGGTCTGCTAAAGGCTCAATTACTATAACATCTAGGAGACAATGTCTTGCAAAGTTGGAGTGCTGTCCTCTAAGACGTAGTAAGTGTCTTAGACCAGCAGCAAATATGTGACCAGAATACGTCAGTCTGGGAACAAAGGTGGAATGATTGGAGTGGCCCCTCTCATTATTCAACTTAAAAACCCATTGGAATATTATCTTTTTTTTCCTCTGACCTTGGGTTTGGTGGGTTTGGATATTTCAGTGCCCAAAGAGAAGAATTCATTTCTTAGGGGATAGTGGAGGTTGAGTGCCCCGTGGCCATTTCGGGATTCCCGTATCACTGAATGGATAGGCACAGAGGGGGTTAGTTTAGCTGGAGTGAACCTCCTGATTACCAGGAGGAAATTGGGTTGGTGCTTCACAATGAGAACAAACAGGACTCTGACGCTGAAGGGTGGACTCTGCTGGGTGTCCTCAGTTTGTGCCCTTCTTCCATGTTCCAGGACTTGAGGTGATAGCAACTTAATCTTCTCAACAACCCTATAGTAATTACAGGTCTTCTTGATTGCCCTCTTACTGTATGGCTGATGTTGTTCTAAGTACTTTACCAGAATTGATTCTATTGACCCTTGCAGTATCTTACATGCTAAATCTTCTATTATTCTCATTTTACAGATAAGGAAACTTAAGTGTAGAACAATTAAGTAACTTGCCCAAACCCACAAAATTAGAGGTTAACTTCTGCCCTATAAGGCTTTTCAAAGGGGGTAGGTATGAATATCTTGTCTTTACAGATAGAAAAACAAAGAATTAGAGAAGTAAAGGAATTTATCCCAGATGTAGTCAATCCCACAACTAGGCTTCAAACACAGCTCTGTCTACCCTCAAAACTCATGCTCATGTTTCAGGCACTCTGCTTCCTTCAGAACACTTTATTTTCAGCTATGAACAGGAGAAAGAGCTGACTGTGAAATGCAAATTCTGTGAACATAAAACTTTGTTTTGAGAAATTCAAAATTTACTTATCATTTAAAAAAATGCACATGACCTAATGTCAATCACATAAAGATTAAACTTAATAAGGGTAAGCATAACCCAAATTTACTAAGCTAGGTAGTTTTTTCTTTAAATGTTTAGCTTATATTTAGACTTAATCCACAGAAACTTTGAGAGCCAAAAAAATTATGCATATATAAAATATAAAAAATAAGTATATGAAAATATATTTTGTATAAAATACACTAAATTATATTATTATACAATATGTTCTATTAAATATAAAACATTTTATTTCTTTATTAAAATTTACATTATTTTATATAATATATTAAAAATATGTTTTAAGGAAGACGATGACCTAATTCAAAAATCACTGCTAGCAAGTTTTTAGGAGAACACTGTTTTGGAATTCTATTCTTTGTACATTTGTTGTTGGCCGACGTTAGCCCTGACTAAGGGAAAGTAGAATGCAGTGGTCATCATTCGCACACTGAGGAAATGCACAAACCAGACCTGAGGAGAAGAGCCTGAGAAACAAAACCACATTGATCAGGGTGCCAGTAACTTACTTCTGCTTTAGTGGCATGGCAGACTTTCATTTGCCATTCGTGAAGGAGGGCACAGTCAAGGCTGTGAATAAGCTTTATAATAATTCCTACCGCTGCTGTCTTTGGGGATTTCCTCCTTTGGAATAGAACCACCAGCCTCATCTTTTGGATATCATGGACCCATGGCTTTCTAACAGTTGAGAATGCTCTGCTTTTCAGATAATACCATCCAGTCGATTTTCTGTTGCTGCTGCTGCTGTTCCATGCAGAAGCGGTAAGTCTGCCTTCTGAGGCCAACTTATTGGAAATGGATTCATTCAGTTTCTTTATTGCCTATTGACTGTGAAATGCAAATTTTATGAATATAAAACATCATTTTGATAAATACAAGGTTTATTTATGGTATAAAAAAGGCAAATGATCTAACTTAAATCAAATAAAGATTAAGTTCTTTGCATCTGCTGTTGCCTGTCGTGGGGAACCCTTCTCCCATTTTTCCCTGTTCAATGCCAGTTCATTTAAAACCATAGGGCAAATGTCAGGTCTCCTGTAATCCTTTCTCAGTCCTCTTGGATTTAATTGCTCCTTTGATTGTGTTCCCAAGGCATCTGATTTGGTTCTTTATTTAATATTTATTTCATGTATCCTGTTTATATGTCTGTGTTCCACTCCATAGTTTTTACCTGTTATGGGCAAGAATTCTGTCTTATTCATTTGCATATCTCTCCACAACTATTGCTGCATTTTATATAGTGTGTCCAGCAATGATTGTATAAGAATAAAATCCAAGGCACCATGAAAATAGTCACAGCTAACATTTAATAGGAGTGTCGCATATGTCAGATTGTGCTAAGACTTTTGCATTTCCTAGCTCAAGTAACTCTCAAAACCACCTATGGATATTTACAATCCCCATTTTACAGATGAGGAAATTGAGGCTTAGAGAAGTTACATTGCTTACCCAAGGCCACACTACGAAATGGCAGAGCTGGGATTCAAACTTATGTTCTTGATTACTATACCATGTCTACTTAAAACAACAGATACCATGAAATGAGGAAATGCTTGTAAAATAATAAACACTGTGCCTAACACAGAGTAAATTTTTGATTATCATGGTTATAAGTTTATGCCCTTAATACACATCAGACACTGTGCTGGGCATGTGACACATGTTTCCTCAATTTTATTTCATAACAACTGTATATGCTCTTAGCATCTCTAATTTCCAGATAAGAAAAATTAAGTCCTGAGAGGTAATAACTTGCCCCAGGAAATGGAATTAGTCCTCTTTATTGAAAGAGACCCAGATTTTTGTTCATGTTTTGTGATAATATAGTGTATTTATAGATACCTTGAATGAAAATAATCACTTGTAACATGATTATTTTTTAATGTTAGGCAAATGAGAACACAAATAAGCCTGAGCAAAGATGAAGAACTTTCAGAAGCTTATACCCAGCATCGCAGGCAGTGGTTCAGTGGCTTGCCACTTAAGAAGCAAGTGAGTATCATTTCAATGGGGCATAAAGGTGGGGAGAAAGGAAGTTCTCCTTTTTAGGGTCTGCTCCATAGGTACTGTTTGCTACCATGTCCAGAACCTAGTCATGCTTGGCACATGATAAGTGCTCAATGAACACTTAGTGAATGAATTTTCTAGAAGAAGGTAAAAGAGAAAAAAGACGAGTTAACGTAGCCCTCTGCTATATTTTAGAAGAATTTGAAACTGGATGGTGAATAAGAAAAAAATATGTATTCTGGCTACTGCCATTTTGAGGCCAGAATTAATTTTCAGTTCAGTGCTGGGAGAAACGGTGTTCTTAGGAAGCATGGTAGACCCAAACACAAGCTTACAGCATGTGAAAGAAAAGAGCTGCTTTTCTCAAGAGAGAAAGATCCTTAAAACAAAGTGAAACTATCAGGGATGGAATCAAGTTTTAAAAATTATGACGTGAAAAAAAAATCCAATGCGATACTGGCAAGAGAATTTGTGATCTTGAAAATTTACGAGACAATGAGTGTGTTGCTGGATCCAAAAGGTGTTTTATAGTTGGTCGTTCCGATGATTATCCCACGTTGGCTTCTGCTTCGGTACAACTGAACAGAAGAATGAAGGCAGCAGACAAACATACTCTATGCCTCTTCTTATTAGGGCACATGAATAAAGCAGGAGTGCAGCTGCTCATTGTCTGGTTTTCACAGTCCAACAGGGGTCGTATGCAGCCTTCAAAACGCAAGCCGCTGCCTCCCCTCCCATCCCCTGAGGTTGCTACAGAGAAGATCCGAGTCAAGGCACTGTATGATTTTCTGCCCAGAGAGTCCTGTGATTTAGCATTAAAGAGAACAGAGGAATACCTGATACTGGGGAAGTATAATACTCACTGGTGGAAGGCAAGAGACCGTTGGGGGTAAGATTGGTGGCTTGGTCCTTATCAAGTTCCTCCTCTTTTTATCCCTGAAAGACTTCTGAAGCATAAAGACGACTGTTTACTGGCTTGGTTTCTCCAGGCTTGTAACTCTTCCTTCTGTGTGAAATTAAACCCGTGTTCCACACGCCCGCATCCGAATGAGAGCATTCTGGCGCTGTGCTTTCAGGCAGACCTTAGAAATAGGTAGACCTGGCTCACATCCCAAAGCTGCCGTTTACTATTGTGTGCTTTGGGCAAGTCACTTACTCTCTCTGTTTCCATTTCTTTTTTTAAATTGAGCTATAATTGACATATAACATTATATTAGTTCCCAGATATACAACATAATGATTCAATATTTTTATATATTGTAAAATGATCACCAGAGTAAGTCTAAGTAAACATCGGTCAACATAGTTACAGAATTTTTTTTTTTTTGCAATGAGAAGTTTAAAGATTTATTCTCTTAGCAACTTTCAAATATGCAATACAATACTATTAACTCTAGTCTCTACGCTACATGTTACATCCCCATGACTTATTTATTTTCTCACTGGAAGTTTATATCTTTTTTTGAAAAAGATTTTAGTTATTTATTTTTAGAGAAAGAGAAGGGGAGGGAGAAAGAGAGGAAGAGAAACCTTAATATGTGGTTGCCTTTCATACACCCACTATTGGGGACCTGGCCTACAACCTGGGCACGTGCCCTGACTGGGAATCAAGCCGGCAGCCCTTCGGTTTGCCGGCCGGGAGACCGTCCGCTGAGCCACACCAGCCAGGGCTAGAAGTTTGTATCTTTTGACCCTCTTCATCAATTTCTCCCCGCCCCCCGCCCCCCCCCCCCCGCCCTCCCCGCATCCCACTCCCCCATCTCTGGCAACCTCCAATCTATTCTCTGTATCTGTGAGCTTTTTTAAAAATGAAAAACAATTTTTAGATTCTACCTATAAGTGACATCACACAGTATTTGTCTTTCTGTCTGACTTACTTTACTTAGCATAATGCCCTGAAATTCCATCTACATTGTTGCAAATGGCAAGATCTAATTCTTATTATTTGATTTGTCCAGAAATAAGAATTAAATCTTGTCATTTATATATATATTATGTATTTTTTATATATATATACAAATCTTGTTATATATACATATATATGAATGGGGAGAACTCCCTCAAAAAGGGATTTACCTATAAAAAAATTGTGTATTCTTACATGTTTCAGCTTCAGTCACCTTCATTTGAAACAATATACCTACCGAGACTTTTTTCCACTCCTCAAAACAGTTTTTGAACTCATCGATTTTGATGCCTTTTAGTGCTTCTACTGGTTTTGGTTTCACCTCTTCCACATTGGCAAAACATTTCCCTTTGAGGGCTTTTCTTCATCCAGGGAAACAAACAAACAAAGTCACTTGGGGAGAGAAAAGTGAATAGGGAGGGTGGAGCACAGGGGTCATGCCATTTTTGGTTAAAAACTGCTGAACACTCAGCGCAGTGTGGGCAAGTGCACTTGTAAGTCACCCATCATGAAATTAGCAAATGCATTGAAAGAGTCTTGAAAAAAAAAAAAAAAGCGCCGAAGCGGAACGCAGCCTCTCACAACAAAACCTGCTGGTACACTGATACAAATAGGTTCCTAGAACACTCACCTAGAGGGGGAAGCTTCTACTATAAGGAGTCCACCCTCCAGAAGATAATTCCAGTTTTCCACATTTTCTTTATACATTCTTCCATCAGTAGATAACTAAGTAGGTTCCATATATATCTAGGCTATCGAAAATAATGCTGCAATGAAAATTGGGGTACACATACCTTTTTGAGTTAGTGTTTTTTTCCCTTCAGATAAATAACCAGAAGCAGAATTACTAGATCATATGCTAGTTCTATTTTTAATGAGTTTTTATTTCTTTCTTTGTAAAATGGAACTGATAATTTCTACAATATGGATTCTTATTCTGATTTATGCTTTCTTTGAGAATTTGACCTTTTTTTTTCCTGTTGAGCTGTAAGGTAAGAAGAGAAACAATATCATAATTATTTTTATACTTCTACAATGACTGGTTTTGGAAGTAGGTGTGAATTAAATAGGAAAGGAAAAAAGGCCCTTGGATGCAAGCAGACTTTGTGTCAGTTGCAGTGGACTGTTGATGTCTGACTGAAGTCCGGGGGAGGGGACGGATTCTGAGGGGCTTCTGGGCTCCCTGGGAGAGAACCCTGGCGTTGGTTCTGATCTTGGTCAAGATCTGGAGATTATAAACAGATAAAATCTTTAAAAAAATATTTGGAGATTATAAGTATCTAAGTATCAGAAGTATCTATATTACACGCCCTGTTTCTTTATGCTTTCCTCATTATTTGGCTGCCTTACCAGTTCTTAGTTTAGTCTCAACATGTGGCAGAGATATTTCAGTGGGGAGAGAGTTATATTAGCAGGCACAGGGCTGTGTATTTAGCCACTCCGGTAAGTGGCCTATTGACATGACTCAGACAGAAACAAACAAACAAACGGCCAATCAGTTTTTGACTCTGAAGTTCATAAGTGAATATAGTTTTTCATAATATGCAAACATGATAAATACTGCCAAAATTCTGCTTTGCCACACCTTCAAATGCAGTCTCTTTCTCAAAAGTAAGCACTATTGGCTCTGGCCAGAGTGGCTCAGTGGATTGAGCACCAGCCTGCGAACCAGAGAGTCACTGATTCAATTCCCTCTCAGGGCACATGCCTGGGTTGCAGGTTGGGCCCCTGGCTGGGGGCGCAGAGAGGCAACCAACACTGACGTTTCTCTCCCTCTCTTTCTCCCTTCCTTTCTCTAAAAATAAATAAATACAATCTTTGAAAAAAAGTAAGTGCCATTATTCATTCAGTAAATAATCATTTTCAATGCACTTTCTTTTAAAAAATTTTTTTTATTATTATGCTGTTACAGTTGTCCCATATCTTTCCTTTGTCAATGTACTTTCATGCACATGTTGAAATATATGGTATAGTTTGCAGATATCATTTACCTCAATCTAACCACACTCTATGTATTACTCTGCAACTTGCTTTTATTTCCCAACAACATGTCTTGAGGATCATTTTGTAATTTCAAATATTGGTGAAGGTGTAGGAAAAGAAAATCCCTCACCCTGTGGATGGGTGCGTACATTGGTGTATCCTCCTTCTAGGCAATTTGTTGTATCTACTGAAAGAAGCACATGCTTGGTGACCCAGCAATTTCCCTACTTTGTGTCTTAGAGAAATATTCATAGTTGGGCACAAAAAGTCATGTTCAAGTATTTCTTTACCATGTCACTGTAGTAGGGACTAAACTAACGGCTGAACTAGAATATTTACTCTATTGAACACTCTACAGCAATTAAAGAGAATGAAGCCAATGTCTTTGTGTTGCTCTGTTGTTAACCCTGGTCACTATGATGCCCCAATGTCATGTAAGTGCCCTTTTTCCACTTTAAAAAGATTCTGGTGTCATAAAACATCTTAAACTACTCACACTGTAAGTCAAAATCTTAGTACTTATTACACAGAGATTTTCGTTAAATGTGAAAATGAAAAACCTGTTTTCCTCTTTTAACAACTTAATCAGTAATATGAATTTGAGTCCCCTACATCCTTGACATTTTAAAAGGATTGCTGTAATCATAATGCCGTAAACGTGCAGATATTTTCATATTTGCTTTGTTGTTGTTGTTGTAGGAATGAAGGCTTAATCCCAAGCAACTACGTGGCTGAAAACAAACCAACCAATTTAGAAATATATGAGTAAGTGTCCTCCAAAATACACCCTAATGTAAAGCTGTGGAAATCAGGTACATTTTGGAAGCTTGTAGGTAGAGATACTTTTTTGGTCTAAAAAAGAAAAGACAGTAATGTGTTTGGCAGCTCTAGTGTAAGAGGTCTTTGATCCTTACAATGATTGAATCAGAAACTTGTTTTTCTTAAACTTATTTTTGTTTCAATTTGTATAGACACTTTTTTTTTGTTTATTTTAACAGTGACAGCATGAAATCAAATACTCATCTTGCACTTGTTTTAGTATATGTCCTAAATGGAAAATTAACTATTTAAAAAATGACATTAAATTTCCAATGAGTGGTAAATTAGACTTAATATATAGATACATTACTATATTTTGGCTCATGTTTTGAAATATTTTAGAAATAGCTGAAGATAAGAACCAGGCCAATGCTGTAGTTGGGAAGAACATTTGGCATGTTTGCTGGAGTCCTGCTCAGAAATTTTTGTTATATAGATTTGGAAGATAGAGGAATGCTCAGCAATCACTTCTTTTAGCCCCTTATTCTGCAGATAAGAAACTAAGGTTGAGAGATTAGTTTATATGTAGAGAGTAGCAGAGCTGGGAGTAGTCCTAGTCTTTCACAAATTTAGTTTTAGTTGGAGCCCTTGAGTTCCCTCACTTAGGTACTTGTTTTGCAATTAGCATATGCTTCCAGCTGCTGGCAGAAGGTGAGGAATTGCGGCAGTAAGAGAGGTGCTTCTGTGAGAACCAGGCAGCAGGTAGAAATTGAATGCGAGAGCCCCCTTGGTCTGCCTTGCTACTAATTTAAGCCCACCTAGAGGCCAGACCTAGCATATCTCTTCCCTGAAACAAATCCAGTTTTAAAAAAATTGGTGAATAGTGTTCACTTTATTGGAGAGGAGAAACAGTGGACCATAGGACACATGACACGTCCACATAACTTAACCAAGACTTCTCTATTAGCTATTTCTCAAGCTAGTTCTCTCTCCCCAGTCACTCCCCATGGCTCCATTATAGAGTCTCTTCTCCCCGCCTTCACTCAGCCTGCCATGCCTCCTCTCTTGACTTGTGTCATTTAGCTCTGCTCTAAAGTTCCAGTTTCCACTCAGGAAAACAACGTTCTCAGGCAGCTGAACCCACCTTCCTTGGAAGACTTTTCCACAGCTGTCTGCAGCTCCCCATGGATGGCCCCCACAGGGGGCTCACCACTACCCTCAGCTAAAGCCGAGCAACTCAAACAGGCCTCTCTCTCTTGTTGTTTTTCTTGCTTTTTTCTTTTTAATGTATATTTTTGCAATTACAGATGACATAGAGTGTTTGCTTCAGGCGTACACACCAGTGATAGACTTTTATATAACTTATAAAATGATCACCCTGATAAATATAGTACCCATCTGACCCCATGCGTAATTATTACAATATTATTACCTATATTCTCTATGCTGTACTTTACATCCCTATGACTGTCTGTAACTACCAATTTGTCCTTCTTAATCCCTTCATCTTTTCCTCCCATCCCCCCCAACCCCACTCCCATCTGGCAGCTGCCAAAATGTTTTCTGTGTGAGTCACAAACAGGTCTCTTTGAAGGCCAGATCAGGGAAGTGCTAAGAAAAATTGGAAAAGAAAGACTTTTGTTTTCACATTATAATCCCAATTTGGATTTTCCTGGCAATGGAAGGAGACCTGTGTAAAGGTACCTGACGCAGTGCCGGGTGGGTGGTTAGTGGGTGGGGATTCACCAGCCAGCAGCCTCCTTTTCTTTTCTTTTCTTTTCTTTTCTTTTCTTTTCTTTTTTCTTTTCTCTTTTCTTTTCTTTTCTTTTCTTTTTAAATTAATTTGCTGTTGCTACCCCTGTTTAGACTAGGTTTGGAGTCTGACTTTAACAACTTGTTTTACTGTAGATATTGGATCATTTGAATTAAACTACTCTGAGGTTAGAATAACCATCTCCTTTCCTTGGGCCTTGATTTATGTGTCTCTATAAGTTATTTTCTTTAATGACTTCAGCTTTGGGAAGGTTGCTTTTTAATTTTATTGCTATCTCTTTGAAAAAAAGGTTTATTAAAATATAGATACAATAATTATCACTGTAACTTATCAACTATTTACTATGTGCCAAGCACTGTTCTAATGACTGTATAGAAGTGACCGCCCTTGGTGGACATACTGTAGTGTGGCCTTAGGAATCAGAAAATCCTGGGTTCAAATCCTCACATTGCCACTGACTCAGGCTTCAGCTGTAGACATACTTACCTAATGTTGCTAAAGCTCCGAGTAATCTGGAAACCGGGCACAATAATACCTGTCCGTACAGTACATAGTAAATGTTCAGTAATTTCTAGCAATTATCATCATTTCCTTGAACTGTGAAAATAACAAGAAAGGCATTTACAGTTTGAACCATCTTGCCTAGTATTACAGGTGTACTATGCGTCATTCTTATTTCAGTCCCGCAAATCACTTTGTTTGATCTTTATTTATTGTACACTTCTGATGGACCAGATGTTAGCTTTTTTAGACATTGGAGATGCAACCCAGAATATACAGAAGCAGTTCCTGTTTCCACAAAACTTACAGCTTTATGGGGCAATAGACACTCAATGACTTCAAAGTCACAAATAAGTATGTAATTTTAAATTGTGGTGTCAGAAAAGAACAGCATGAGGCACTGGGAGAAAACAATGGAGAAGGGGTGTAAGTTAGATGAGGGTGTTAGTTGGGGAAGACCTTTCTGAGGAAGTGGCTGAGGCAAAAGGTGTTAGGAGGTAGTCAGGGTGCCAATAGAGGAAGAAATGCTATGGCGTCTGACACTTCAGGAGCAAGTTTATATGTAGAAATATTTACTTTGGTTTTAAATAAATATCTAGCTATCAACAATACAACGAATGTGTGGCTTGGCCAAAAAGTCCGTTTCATTTTTTTCCGTACAATAGAAAGACACATTTTTCATTTTCACCAATAATGTTATTAATTTGGATAATTTAGAGTATGTTGGCTCTCTCCTGTGTGATATAATGTTGATTGTTCTCAATTAACGTCTCAATTTGATTGCTATTAAATACAACTGTTCTACCCAACCATGGAGCATTGTCTGGTGAGACATCTCCAGCACAAAACTTCACAAACCACTGTTGACACGTTTAATCAGTCTCAGCACCTTCTACATACACTGCACAAATCTTTTTATGTGTTTTAGTTGCATTTTTACCTTTCTTGAAATAATGAAGCATAATATGCTGAAAGTGTTGCTTATTTTCTCTCATCTTCAATATTAAAATGGCTACACAAAAATTCACGAATTTTAGTAAGTTTTTCTAAATGCATGCTGATATGACAGCTGTCACAATACAATCTAACAAAATTGTTTCAAATAAAGGTAAAGACAACTAAGCGCTACTAGAGTCATCTTATGAAAAAAAATCCAAAGGAACTTTTTTGGCCAACCCAATAATAACCTAGTTTTCAGTAAGCCTTCAAGTTTAACTTGTAAATCTTTATGTACTATTTATAAATATAAAAAAAATAAACTATTACCTTAATTCAAACTCAACACATTTAATCAGTCCTATTTATAAGCTCAGTTAATTAAATTGCCTGAAACATTTAACTTCATTAATAAACTGAATAAATTCAATTTTCTTTTTAACTACTTCACATGCCAGACAAGGCAAATTTGCAATTGTTATAGCCCTTTGTAAGTCCCTGCATGATCCTGGAAATTCAACAAAGTAAAGTTATGTGGTGAATCAAATAAAGTAAGTTTATGTGGTAAATCAAGTTCTCTTAACTATACAAATATTTTTAAAATGAGTCAAATTCCCTTAAACTTCAAATAACAAGTTTAAGATTAATTTTAAATTTTAAATCAGAGACAAAACCCAATATACCAGATTCTCTTAAAATTCCAGATATTTTAAATATCAAACATTGATTATCCTGACCTTTATAAGGACTATAAGTCTGATTTATCTCATTGTCTCTATACAATGTTGTCTAGGCATGAGTTACAACCTTACTGATTAGAAAAGAAAAACAAAAAACTCTTCTAACTTTTACCATCTGATTTAATTCTAAAATACCGTGCCCAAACCTCCTTAAGTTAATTCATCCAATTTCATTCCTGCCTGTGGAATCCTGCATTATTTTAAAGAATCCTAAATTCATCATATATTTCTATCTGGCTCTTTGGTTACTACTTTGAAGTCATTCTAATGACATGCACACAGATTTTTAATTTACATTTAAGCAAAATAATATATTTACTTATTTATTTCAATAATAAGTACAAAGCAATAAAACACTGAAACAATAGTGGGTGAAAAACATTTAGAAAACCTGCAATTTATGTTAACTTTGTTTTATTTTATTTATTTTTAGAGAGGGGAAGGGAGGGAGAAAGAGAGGGAGAGAAACATCAATGTGTGGTTGCTTCTCAAGCTCCCCCTCACTGGGTACCTGGCTCGCAACCCAGGCATGTGCCCTGACTGGGAATCAAACCAGCAACCCTTTAGCCCATAGGCTGGCACTCAATCCACTGAGCCACACCAGCCAGAGCTCAATTTATGTTAACTTTTGAGAAGTAACATTTAAAAAAAAAGCAGTTTTATTTTTCACAGATGTAACATGTTAGCTATAATCGTTACTCTCCCTTTAACACTCATATTTCACAACATTGCTATTAGAGGCCCCTTTAAACTGATATCCTGCATCTTTAACTCTGCAACAGGAGGTCTCAGACTCATCTTGAAATGCTTTGCACAATATTAATATCCTTTAAAAAGTACTAAGTAATAATCACAGTTGAACATCACAGTTACTCTTATTCCCACTAGTGATAGTCATATTATTTTATCTAGAATCATCTGGAATCATCCCTAGTCTCATGGTTCATCTTTTTAAAGGTTCATTTTCATTTTAAGGGCACTAGTATTTTTAATACCCAGCCATTTTAATTCAGTGGCAGCTTTCCACTACTGGAGGTTAGGGGAAGTCCATATGATAAGATCGATTCCATCCTCAAAGTCAGGTATGAGTTTCATTTAGCCACCCTCTGGCCCACCCACTGTGACTCAGTGCCTGGTTATACATACATTCTTCCTTCCACTGTCCATAAACATAGCACTTCTGGTAATATTAGATTAGCTGCTCTTTAAAATCTTTTTTTTGAAATGAAACTTTTTCCATTGTTTTTTCTCTCTCCTTGGTTCTACCATTTCCTCTTTCTTGTATGACATTTGTTTACTAAGTTGTCATACCAAACTATTTATTTAAATTACAATATAATTTAATTATTATAACTGTGTGCCCTTCTGGTATTCTAAAGCAATGATTTTCAACTGGTGTGCCCCAAGAATTTTTAAAACATGCAATACCTGACTCTTTAGCAGAGGACTGACTTCTTTTCCTTTACGTTGTCAGATTAAAAAAATGACAACAGCCAACACAATAGCCATCCTGTGTGAATGAATCAAAATTATACCTATTTTTTGTCAGATCAGCAAAAAATAAAATACATATTTTGGTGTGCCGCAGAATTTTAGTAATTACGTTATGTGTGCCGTGAAATGAAAAAGATTGAAAATCATTGCTCTAGGGTCTCATAGTGACACATTTTATGCAAAGGGAACAGCAAGATCAGAGGCAGAAAAGGGCTTGGTGACCTTGAGGAAGGGAAGGATCCCAATGGCCAAAGCTTCGTATGTGAGCAGAGAATGAGAGAGATGAGGAGGAGAGGGCGAGCCGAGCAGGGTTATATATTGATTGTTCCATTTACTCCACCCAACTGCTAACTTTGCTACAAGTTAACATACTTAGGAAAGTCAAATAAGTTAGAGTGTGTTTTAATTTTGGAAAGGTATCTTACAAAGCATGCAAATAAGAAGTTCCTGGGTAGAAAGAATCAAGTATTTTTTAGTTTGTCTACCAAAGCTCAGTGAAGTGTTTATTGAAGATGATGACTTCCAAACCACACACTTTTCATGGACATTTTTAGGAAGTTAAATTATTCAAAATTATATATTAAGTGTGTGTCAGAAAGTTGAATTGAGATATAATAGAATAAACTAGATACTGCAACTAATATAACTCTACTAGACTAAATTAACTGACCATAATAGTATGGTATAATATTGTCTGTCTGAGTTAAAAAAAAAACCCTCAGTTTTCTAAAACTCATTTCTGGAGTAAGTTCTTTAAAACAAGGAAAATGGAACAGGTTTTCTTTTTCCTGGGAAAAAAAATTTAAAAATTATTTTTATTGCTTTTACAGGTGGTACCATAGAAACATTACCAGAAATCAGGCAGAACGTCTTTTGAGACAAGAGGTAATTCAATGTGTTGCTCAATAAATCTGTTTCAAAATATCTGAGACAGAGACATTATAAAGAAAGACCTTATCCAATTAAAAAGTTTTATTATTCCTGTTCTTTTTAGTTTTAAAGTATTATAATCTCATCTCTACACACATTTTTTGATGCTATAAAATAGTTGTCCTTGTATTGGATTATATTTTCTCTTGATTTTCATCATGATTTCAGAAATGTGTTTTTCCTGAAATGATTTCAACACCAACATTTTACAACCCCTTCATTCACTCCACAGTGCATTCTAGCAGCACAGTCTATATTTGGATTGCCCGCACACCTTTACATCCATGCCAGTCAAATATACAACCTATCCTCATGAGCTTAGCTTAGGCTCATTAAAAACACGAACATAGAAAAACACATGGTGCCTCACTTTCTTTGTCCTTTGGGAACAAAGGGAAGAGTGAGGTAGCCAAAATATCAAGCTCAGATCAAACTGCTCATTTAGGTCAAAACAAAACAAAACTGCATATAGTTTAAATTTCCAACTGACGGTAAAGATTAACTGTGGGCAAATGTAGAGTCAAAACTAGAAACGAGGTGAGAGATAGATGTGTCATTGTGCACTGCTCTCAGATGTTGAGGAAATCTAGAAAGATAAGTGAGAAAGAATCAGTTCTGTAACTAAAAACTCAATGCCAGTAATGGCTCGGGACACAGGGAAGGTCCAGGTAATAGCTGGGGGATAGGCAAGCATGAGGGACTCAGACCCCGGCGGGTGGGGGTCGGGGGGAGGTTGGAGATCGGGCCCAGCCTCACAGGTTAGAAATAAGAGTGTGGCAGCAAATGTGGGGTCGGCTTGGCGTGGTGACTGCAGGTGGCTTTCTGGACAGTGATTTTAGTAGGTCCAGAATGAGCACAGAAGATGTTATGACAGGCAGGCAGAACTGGAGAAGGGGAGTCCAGAGGGAGATCCACGGCACACAGGGCGATCACAGGTAACATGGCCAGGAGCACGGGGCTGTGCATGTGAGCAGAAGTCTGAACAGAGGGAGCGGCTGACCTCCCTCCTGGACGAGAACAGTGAATTACTAGAACAGGTGGCAACCCCCGCATAGCTACAGCCCGCATATCACAGCCCGTGGTAACATTTGGCCATAACATTCCTCAATGAAATAAAACGTCACAGGCAGTTAAGCCCATCTTCTCATCTTTCTTGTCCTCCCCTGTGCCCCAGAGGCAGTCACAGTAGAAGGGCATGTTCCCATTTGTCCCTGTGTTTATCTTTTTATCAGAGATTGTGCCTAAGCAAATTATATAGTGTTATTTTGTCTGTTTTAATGTTTGCTATAAAGGAAACCATATGTGTTGATTTTTTAAAATTAAACATTATATTTTCAATTTCATTCATCTGGGTACACATAGATCAAATTCATTCCTTTAACTGCTGTCTACTTTTTCATTATATGGATACCCGAACATATCCATTCACTATTGATAAACATTCAATTTTTTTCTGATTTCTTATGATTACAAACAGTGCTGCAAAGAACTTCTTTGTGCTTGTCATTTGATATACAAAGGCAAGGGGTCCCCTCCAATTGTACCCAGAAATGGAACAGTCTGCTCAGGGAGCATGTGCACATTTAACATCACTAGGTGATTTCAAATTACCAAAGTACTTGGACTAGCTTATACTCTTACAGGGAATGACAAGGTTAGTTCTGTTCATTCTTGCCAACAATTGGTAGTTTCACATTTTTTCAATTCATTGAGTGAGAAATTTTAAATATATTTTAAAATGTGCATTTCCTTGGTATACTTTTCAACTGAGTAATTTTTCATGTATCTATTGGCCAGCTGGGCTTCCTCTGCTGTTAAATGCCTGTTAATAGACTTTGCTCATTTTTCTGTTGTATTTGCCTTTTAAACTGACTAATGTATATTTTAAAAATATATTCTGAATACCAGTCTTTTGTCATGTGTTACAATTACATTCTTCTGATTTCTGGCTTTAAAAAAATTTTATACAGAATTTCTAAAAATGTTAACATTAAATCACAATATTTTTCTTATGATCTTTACTTTTTTATTTATTTACTATAAAAATTCCTCTCATTATGAAATACTAAAGGAATTTTATGTTTTCATTTAAATGTTTTAAATATTTGCTTTTCATATTTTAGTCTTTAATCTGAGGGTGGAAAAAGAGAGAGAGAGAGTTAAAAATACGAGGTCTGTCCAGAAGCTATCTGGCCATGTACTATGAAATATAGAGACATTTGCTGAAGAAGATGCAAGGTACAAGAAACATTGTACATAGGACAATGATGCTTCAGTCCCCTTCATAGCAGGCACCTTGGGACCTCACACAGTCCCCCATATCACCATCAGCTGCCCTGTCGTATTTTCCTGAATCTCATCAATGGTTTGAAATCCCTTTCCTTTCTAAGATGATTTTAGTTTTGGGAAAAGCCAGAAGTCATAGAGCACCAAATCGGGGCTGCAGGGGGACTAAGTCACCTGGGTGATTTGGTGTTTTGACAAAAAACTCCACAAGACGTGATGCATGAGTGAGTGTGTTGTTGTGATGAAGCTGCCAGTCACCATTGCCCAGAGCTGCGGCTCCTGAATCATCCGAATAGTTTCCATGGAGGAATGTTCAAGCTTACCACAAAATCTGATGCAGATTCGTTGCTCTACTTGCTCAGTTGTTTTGAAAATGACAGCCACACAATACACATGCTCACTCAACAGCATCTACTCCCCCACTGACCAGTACAGCAAAGTAGTCATTGTTCACGCATGTGCATTCCAGTCCACTCTCCTTGGCTGCCAGGTTACATTGATGTTATGCAAACCATTCTCATTACATTAATAATGGCTGGATTTTTCTGGACAGACCTTGTATACACATATTTTCCTATAGATCATAAAATGTTTTTGTAATTTACATATTTTATAATTTTTATTTTTTAAATCTATGCCTGGGTTAAATCCTACTCAGTTATAAGGTATTTAGTTGGTTAGAGTATCATCTTAATATGCCAAGGTTGCAGGTTCAATCCCCAGTCAGGCCACATGCGAGAATCAATCAATGAGTGCATAAATAAATGGGACAACTGATGTCTCAAAAAAATAAAAGAATAAAAGGTAATAAATAAAATAAATATATATTTCTGATTTGGGTTTCCTAATATATTATTTAGAATTTGTCCTGTTATGTTCAGTGTGAGCCGTGCTTCTAATTTTCTATCCTCTTTGTCTGGTTTTAGTATAAAGGTTATACTAGCATCGTAAAATGAGGCTAACACCTTTGTCCCTTTTACCAATCTCTGGAAGAATTGATGTTGAATAGAAATTATTTGCTCCTTGAAGGTTAAATATATATCTTGTGAAATAGTGTGGACATGCTGCTTTTTCAAACAGATCTTTCACTACTGATTTAATTTCCCTTTCTTTTTGAGATGTTTGATAATTTACCTTTATCTAGAGAATTGCCTATTTTATATTGTTTTCTAATTTATTGCATAAATTATTTATAGAAGTTCTTATAATTTTTATTTATTTCATATTTTAATGGTATGTTCACATGATTTCAAAATCAAAAGGTTTTGAAAAGTTTTCTTTCATCCTGTCTCTAAGCTGTCAACTTCCTTTCCCATAGACAAACTGCTATATGAATTTATTTTGTGTCCTTTCTGAGATATTTAATACATATAAAAGCCAGTACAATTATTTTTTGTTATTTTTATACAAATAGTAATATACTACATATATTCTTCTGAACATTAATTAATTTTTTTCTTAATGATACATATGTAGGGAATCTTTCCACATCACACAAAACATGTCCTTACTCATTTTATATCTATATAGTATTTCTTCGTTTGAATGTATCACAGTTTATTAAACAATTTATTAAACCAGTTCTTTGGTTGGAAGTGTAAGTAGAATACACTCTTTTGCTATTAAAACAGTGCTGCCATAGGTAACGTGGACACACAGGTTTCCTTCTCTCCTTTATGTGAGTATATGAGTCTGTAGGTTACGTCCCCACTGATGGAAATTCTGGGTCAAAGGGAATGCACATTTCTAATATTGATAGATATTAAAATGCTCTCTATACGGCTTGTATCAATTTATATGCCTACTAGCAATGTGAGAGAGTGCCTGTTTCCCCACAGTCTTACCAGCAAGTGTTTTAATGAAACGTTTGGAACTTTGCTCTCTGACATCTCATCTCAAGGTGGATTTCATTCACATTTATCTTATTCTGGAAATGTTAAGCATCTTTTTATATCCTAAGTTTTATATACTTGTACTTCCTTTTCTGTGATATGTCTGTTCATATCCTTTGCAAAATTTTCTCTTTTTTTTTAATGCTTTTCTCACACTTTATAAGACATATGTAGCTATATTAAGGTAATTAGTTTTGGTGATGTGTGGCAATACTGTCCTCAGTTTTTCAATTGTTTTGTATTTCTTCTTGCCATGAATAGTATTTGAAATTTATATATTTGCATTTTTCAGACAGATTTTTGTAAGCCTTTAGGGTTGTGACAGGTTAGAATTGCCTTTTCCAATACAAGGTCATAAAAAAAATTACCATGCTTCTTGACTGTTTTACTGGTTTTGTTTTCTTACATATACGTGTGTGATCCATTTGTAATTTTTCCTGATATATTGAATGAGGTATGGATCGGTCTTTATTTTCTTCTTCAGATCATCCCTAAGTAGCTGTCTTTTCTGCACTGACTTGAGGTGCTGCTTTCACCACCAACACAGTTCCCTGTGGACTGGATCTGGGCTTTTCACTGGGTGTTACTCACCTGCCTGTTAGTGAGCTGCTATGGTACCACTTTCAATACCAAGGCTTAAATACTTGCCTCTCTCATTCTTTTTTTAAAGACATATTCTAGATATATATTTTGCCCATATAAACTTCAGAATTGCTTTGCCTAAATAAAAAAAAAAAAACAACTTCCGGTTGATTGCCTTAAATTTACAGATTGAGTTAGGAAAAATTGTTCAGGTGTTACAGACATGATTAGGGTTTTGAGACCAATTTGTTCTGAAACCCATTTATTGATTATTCATATAGAACAAACTAAAATTAGATCCCTACCTCAAGAAAAAATTAATCTTGGCTGGATTAAAAGACCTAATGAGAAAAACAAATACTTTTGTTAATATTTAGTTAGGATTTTTGCATTGATGCAGGGGAAGACTGGCTTAGAGTTTTTCCTTTTGTGAACGGTCTTTGCTGTGTTGTTAGTATTTATATTAAGCTCACTTTATATAAAAACATAGAAGTTTTTCTTCTTTTCATATGCTCTGGAATCATTTGATTAATCTATCATTTCTAAAATTTATGATTTGTTAACATCACAATGTGTAAATGTAGCACTGCTATATGTTGTATCTCTTTTGGAACTTTATCCATTTTCCTGTTTAATAGGTTTATTAAGATTTCTAGCTCTTCTGGGATCCATTTTAATACATTCTGTTCTTTTCTAGTTAATTACTCATTTTATTGAAGTTTTCAAAATGTAGAGTCAAGAAAATTCTTTAATATTTTTTCCTGGATCCTTGTGATTTTTTTTGGATATATTTTCCCATTTATTATTGATTAAGTTAACTAACAATTTATCTATTTTATTGTTTCCCATAGACAACCAGATTTTGAATTTAATGACTAGATATATTATATTTTGTTTAATTTCTAGTTTTATTATACTCTTGTTATTTAAATAATAATTTGTTATTATAGAAATAATTATTTTCTGCTTTTGTCTTTAATACTGTATTTAGCTATGTATAATATTTACTTTTTTGCCCAAATTTTTGAGGGAAAATAAGGATGTGCATTATACATGGGTAGTACTAATTTAGTATCTCCATAATGTAATACAAAAGATTTTTTTCCTCAAAGTTTGGGCCAAAAACATGTTGTGCATTATACATGACAAAATATGGTAATTCCTTTCTTTTACTTTACCTAAGTTTATTTCATAACTCTTATCTTAACTTCTTGAGTGAGATACACTTATTTATATTGCTTTCATTGATATAAATAATAAGACTGAATTTACTTCTCAGTACTGGTTAAACTATATGACAGAAGTTCTGATATATAGCATTCCCCTAGTATTTCCTAGATATTTTTGATTTTTACTTAAATTTCCTTGAGCTTTACTAAAGTCAACGTAGGGGATTTTTACTTTGGAGTTTATATATATGTGTATATGTATATATGTGTGTGTGTGTATATATATACACACACACACACACACACACACATACATACATCCATCTTTGTCTTTTACATCTTGCGTCCCCTGTGGTATGTAGTGCGATCTTTGCACATGGTAGGAATTCAATGAAAGCTAGATTTTATCATTTTAAATGGCAATAAGAGATTCTTCGGTTTGAAAATTTGACCAGAAAATGAGGCTTGTCTCTCGGTAAGCATCTGGGAGGAGTAGGAGACTGCTTCCTGTGTTACACTGGCCTCGAGGGTCAGGCCCTGCCGACTGGGTTGTACAGTTCTCACACAGCTTAGTGGCACTTCACAGGCATGAGCTTTCATGGGTCTGACAAGATTCTGAGATGTTTTCCTCTTCACAAGTGCAAGCACACTCAGTAAACCTGAAGCATTTTTAAATACCAAACAAAAAAATCAAATAAAACCGTCCAACTTTCAAGATTATTTGAAAGCAATTCATAGCTTTATTGAAATTTTCAAAAAAAGTTAGAGGGGATCCAATTCAGAATCTAACATCAAACTTATTATAAGATTCTTCCTTCTTGCCATTTCCCTTGTTGTCTCCCTCATGCCCCTCGAGCAACGAAAGTGGCTCTCCTTGTTCTTCTCTCCAGACTCTCCGAAATCTGTTCTCTCTCTGACCTTATTACAACTCTGGTCTCTCTTCCTACTCCCCATCCCAACAATTTCAGATGTTTTTCTCACTTTCTTCTTCACCCCTGCCCGCCATTTTCTTTCCTTTCTTTCAAAGTACAATTCTGTCTCAGAGTTCTTACTTATCAGCTATTTTCAAGTCCTTACATATAAAAATTTCTTCTCTTAATTATATTTTATTTTATAGGTATTATTTCCAAGCCTGTACTTGTAAAAACAATCCCATCCTTTTACAATAAATTAGTATAGCTTTGGTTTTCATAACTGAGATGTAGGTTTGTCTTTCTAATAAAAAGTAAAGTTGTTCAATGAATGAATTGTCTTGCAGTCTAAAGAAGGTGCATTTATTGTTCGAGATTCAAGACATTTGGGATCCTACACAATTTCTGTGTTTCTAAAAGATAGGAGGTAAGCAATTTTGATTTTGGTCACTTTAGAAATAATAATCCCTGGGACAGTTCTTTTTGTGGAGACACCATCGCTTAGAGAAGGTAAACCAAAGCTCAGCACAGGAAGAAGATTGCTGGACTGGAAATTAAGACAACTGACCAGTTCAAATTGTATCACTAACAAGCTCTGTGTGTGGCACTGGACATTATTTAAGTTCTCTCATTTCCTTTTCTCAGCCATCAAGTGAGGAGGTTAGATTAGCTGTAGCAGAGCTGGTGGTGTTTCTCTCATCCCCCTCGGTCTACCCTGGGTCTGCTTGCTGAGAGTTCACCTGCACTCATAAAGCCTCCTGTGTCTTTCTGCCTGAGGATGTTCTCTGGATGAGGGAACTCATGGTCCCCATGTCTAGGCTGGAAGTGTCTGAGAATTAACATCTCAGGAGTGACCTTCCATTAGTGAGGAATGGGAGTTGGTGGATAAGCACCTCAGCTTCTTTGAACTTTAGTAGGACAATTCCAAGGTTTGTTCCATGGTCTTCCAACGTCTTATAAGGATTAAGCTCCAGTTGCCCATAACAAAAGTGCTCATCACTTCACCCTGTATTGGTTTTCCTCCCTTCTTTGTCTCACGTCTCCTCATACCCCTCACAGTGCATTTTTTTCATTCTCTTAACCCATACTTCATAGTCAATAAATCCTTGTGTGTCCATTATGAAATCTACTTTTTTTGGACACTAGACTTGTCACCTAGACAATTTTGGCTGAAGTTATGTTTGATTCTAAGGCCCCAGTAAGACAGCTGAGGAATTTTCCTGGGGTGCTGAGACACCCGTTTAATTTAATCCAATCTGCTCTTTAGTGTGTAGTGTTGCTAGGCTAAGAGTTCTAGTGGTGGAGTCCTGTTGCTTAATGCATTGACTTAGTTCCATAGTGATCTTTTGCTTGTTTACTAATTCACATTTGATTGATTGTAGAAGCATGGAGGCTACCGTCAAACATTATCAGATTAAAAAGAACGACTCAGGAGAGTGGTACGTGGCTGAAAAGCACTACTTTCAATCAATCCCTGAATTGATCTGGTATCACCAGCACAATGCAGCCGGTGAGTCAGGAGCTTCAGGATGGGAGAGTTGGGGATCCAGGCTCTAGATGGGTAATGCTTGTTTTGTCTCAGACACTTAACAAATATGCCTCTAAAAATGTGTAAGAGCTTGAAATACAATGTGCTTCTGAAATGTTCTCTTCATTGACACTTCTTTGCTTTCCTAGTCAGGGGCAAGAGGTAGGTCAATTTTAAAAATTTCTACCAAGTTAGAAAAACGGTAGGTGACAGGAAAGTAAAAAGCCATTTAGTCATTATGCATTTATTCTTGATGTTTAGATAGAGCTAAGTGCAATAGAATTTCCAATGTCCTAAAGAATCATGCTTCCTTTTCTTTGCCCCTATAAATTTGCTCTCTACCTTAGACTATTGCAACAGAAAATTACCCTTACATCTCTCATCCTCTGTTCTTTCTTGTTTAGAGAATGGATAAAGTTATATAGGACACAGTTTTCCACTAATTACATTTTGGCCTAAATATACTGGAGACATATTTAGACTCTGTCCCTAGCTATTGTTTGTAATAATTGTTACTTGTACAAACCTACCAGCTATGGAAAAATATAGGATTCCAGAAAGTTCTACCATAATTGCAATCACATCTCTGGCCTTCAGCCCTCACCCAACCTGTGCCAGGCCACTCTGAGCCCATGGGGAAATCCTCTTATCTCAGCATTATAGAGTTTGGAGCCCACTGTAGTTTTTCATATTGTTTTGAATTCTTATCATACAGTACTTTTTTAGATTTCTCTCATAAAAAGTTGTGTTAACAACAACAAAAAAATCTCTTTTGGAAAGCATCCACTTTTTCATTATGCTGCTTCTAAATATCAGGAATAAATCCAAGGAAATTTTTGTCTACTTATGGGATGAGACCACATGGGTATTCCAGATGGTCCAGGGAGTTTGGTTGGAGAGGAAGTGGCAATGTGCCTGAGTGGGCCAGGAAGGGCCTGTTTGTGGCTAGAGGTAGAAACAGGAGACAAGTTCTGAGTTTTCTCTTTCACTCCTCTTTCCCCTTCCTTTAAAGACAAAATTTAAGAAACAGAGTGTTTATGGTGGTGAGGTTGAAAAAAAAAATACTGAGGTAGATCCGGATGTGCCAACATGAAAAGATGTTAGTGATAAGTTGTTTTGTAAAAAAAAAAAAAAAAAAAAAAAAGTACATAGTACTATATTTAGAATATAGTCCCACTTTTGAAAAAAATCCAGATTTACACATATGTGTGTGCATAGAAAACCAGTTGACAGTTAATAATTTTTGAACTAATAAGATTTTAAGATAATGAAGGGAAAGTGGAGACAACTGTACTTGAATGATAAAAAAATAAATAAAAAAAAGATTATAACAGACTACAAACTGTTAATGTTTACCTCTGGAGAATGAGACTTGGGGTATGGGAAGTTTTTATTTTCTGGTCTATAAATTGCTTTAAGGTTTAATTTTTTATTACAATTACATAAATTATTCTTAATATATAAAATGCAATACAGATACCTTTTAAAATATAAAGAATGAAGCAAACAATAAAAACAATGAAAAACAGGGCCTGAAAAGTTAAAACTGTAAGGCTGTTATTTATTACAGGGAAAAGAAGTAGGGAAGAAATACAGCAACAAGAGAGAAGGATGGTGAGAGGAGAGGCATGGGACCCACAAATAATTCATTTATTGCAGATTTACTTTGAGCCAGGCCCTGTTTTGAGTGTTTTGTGTATGTTTATTGACCTAATCTTTAGAGCAATCCTATGAGGTAGGTGTTGATACCTCCATTGTACAGGTTAGGAACCTGAGGCATGAGTTGTGAGGTAGATTGCATGAGGTCACACAGTTATTTAGTATCTGCATGGAGATTTGAACTCACTGGAATCTTTGAAACCATGGGAGCCATGGAACCCATTAAATCCAGAGTCTGCATTCAACTATAGCCAAACCTTGGTTCTTGAATGTCTCCCATCTGAAACAATTCGGTTCTTGACCAAGTTGTTCATGGAAAAAATGTCTGGGCTTTTGGACAAAATTTTGGTTCTCATTGCAACAGCCCTTTCATGTTGATACGTGCGTCTCCTGGGTGACAAAGGAGAGAAAGCACGAGTATGAGTCAGTTTATGGTTAAACCTCACATTAACATCTCAGGAAACTGTGCTGTGAATATTTTCATGTCTTTTTTTTTTTTCTTTCGTTGCTGCTCATTATTAAACACATACAGTAAGCCTGGTATAGGTCCCTGCCTCTCCCTGTGTCTTGGGGCGGCACTAATCATTGCTCACTCGGACACCTGCAGTGGTCTCTTTACTGGTCTTGTTATCTCTAATGTGGCCTTCCTCTCAACGCATCCTCTATACCATTGACAGAATGATCTATTAAAAATGTAAATCTGAACTTACCACTCCCTTTCAATGAAGGGAACTTTCAATGGCTCCCTCACCTTCAGGAAGATGTAACATTCCCGAGCATGGCTTGCAAGCCCCATTATAACCAGAAAACTACCTACCCCTCAAGTACAGTTTCTTGCTCTTTCTCCTCAGAGGTTAGCTCCACCTGTCAGATTCGTCTCAGGTATCGTTCCCTCCCAGAAGACTCCTGGGAATCCAACAATGTGTGAGGTGCTCTTCCTCTGTGTCCCAGAGCACCTTGCATATCGCCAGCACAGGACTTACTCCTTCTACATTGGAATTGCCTCTCCCTGCCTGTCTTCCCTCACAGAGATGGAGCCCCTGTGGGCAGAGCCCTCCCTAGATCCTTTGGGACTAGGGGGATTTCCCAGGAAAGTGCCTTGCACCAAATAGGCACTTACTAATGCTTCTTTCTGTTTTGTTTTGACTAAGCTCTTTTCTTTCTCCCAGCATTTGCACATTCTCTTCCGTCTACCTGAGATGCTTTTCCTTCTGATTTTTGTTTGATGGCTCCTTCCCTGTCCATCAATGGCAGCATAGCGGTCATCTTGTCAAAAGGCCTTCCCTGAGGGCCCACTTGAAAGCAGCTATATGTTAACTACTCTGCCTTGCTCTCATCTTCTGCTTTTTATTGTGTGGGCATGTACTTGTTTATTTCTTATAATGAAAGCTTCATGAGAGTGGGGACCCTTAGTGCCTCATGGACTGCTGTCTCCCACCATCTAGATATGCTGGGCCATTTCTGGGCCTTCACTAAATATTAGTTGAAGAATAAAAAATACCTGTTGAACTAAACTGAAGTTGACTGTGTAGAATATTACATGTTGGCACAATCAAAAGCAATATCATTTATTCTCTCATGCTATTTATTTTTAAAAATAAGATACTCTTAAAAAGATGGAAAAATAGTTACACTTAAGTATTGTTGGTAATTGAATAAATCAGTACAATCTTTGTAGATAACCTTTGATCAGAAAACTGCATTTTAAGGAATTTATCCTGAGGAAATAATTTGAGAGTTGCATACAAATATACCCTCAAGAGCACACAACACATTTTACAATAGTGAAATCTTGGAAATAACTTTAAGATCTATTTATAGTCTTTGACATTTATCAACTACATATTTTCTGTAACACGTATTGGATATGTATATGCTTTCGAATATGCATATAGATATTTTTGCAAAGATATTCATCAGAATGATAACAGTATATCTCTGGAAGTTGATATTTTGTGAGGGATCTTTATTTCATCTTTATATGCTCTTGAATTCTTTAATTAGTGTTTGATGAGAGTATATTATTTTATAAAAAGTGATTGCAAATGGGAAAAATAAGCAAACAGACTACATAGAATATTTTTTTTGCTTTATTTATGTAAAGAATGGCACCATTGTGTAGCATATTATTTATATTAGTAACTAGGCCTGAAATGACAATTTCCCTTTCTCTTTCTCCCTAGGTCTCATGACCCGTCTCCGCTACCCAGTTGGGCTGATGGGCAATTGTTTGCCAGCCACGGCCGGTTTCAGCTATGGTAAAGTACATACCCATGCAGTAAAATGTCAAATCCAGGAAAGAATTTCCCCAAGTTCCCTCGATGTTCTTTAAATTCTCAGCTCTCTGCTCTCTGAGATGTCTATTGAGATATATTCCTTCTCAATGTTTAACTTCCACTTCTGAGATGTTTAAATATATGCCTCTCATAAGGGCAATTTAAACTTTGGGGGAACGTGTTTTAGTTTTATACCAAATTTTATTAAACATTATTAAGAGCCCTTTTGATATATTACAGTTGTTTTCATTTGGATGTTTGGGCTGTTGCTCTCTGGGTACGTGGTGGCTGGGAAATGACTGCTCCCCAAAAGGGCCTGTTAAAGTGAGCTGCTGAAAGTGTCCTCTTCCCCTCTTTTCAAACAGTCCCAGGACAAAAGCTGCTATGAACTATTTTCTAGCAAATGTGTTATTTGCAAATCTGTGAGACCATGTAAGAGCCAAAGAATTCTCTTTTCTAATTTGGTGACACTTTATTCCCTTATTTTCTCTTATTAGTGGGGCTCACAGTGTGCTGGGGAAAAATGATACTGTGTAACATGTAACCAGGACTCAGGACCTCTGTGCTAATGGAATCAGAAGGGCGATTTCAGGGTGTTATGGGTACCTACATTATTTCTTTGTCCCATAAACATTACATGTAATAAAAGTTCCACCATTAGCAATTTGAGTTATGATGGTCCTATTTAGTTTTTTAAAACTAAACTTTTCAATTTTTAACATCCAGGACAGTCCACAGTTCAGTCTGTAACTTACGTGTAGTTGATGAACAGAAATTTTACAAAGTGTAATTACCAATATTTTCCTTTATGGTTATATTCTGTTGAATACATTTTGCCAGTACCAAGGTCATGACTATGTTCTCCCATGTTACTTTTAAGCCACACCTGCTATTGGGAAGGGGAATACTTTGCAAATCTGGTACGGAGGGCCATTAACCCTTACAATTCTTTTAAGTGCATTAATTTAACTTGCCAGCAGATGGTAGTGTTGCTATATAAAACGACATACAAAAGATTCGCTACTTCTTAGTTTTCAAGAGGGCTATTTAAAAAATATTTCTCGCCCACCCCACCCCAACCTGGCCTTTCTCTATGGGATGAGAACTATGTAGTAACATAGATTTCACTTCAAACATACACTTACACATATGTGTGGGTGAGAATCTTAACATAAGGCATATTTATTGGCTGAATTGATTGGGCTTTTTCCTAAAGAGAAGACTTATCCAAGGCAGAAAAGCCCATTAGGAGTTAGAGTGGACAATAGAAGGAACTGAAATGGTGGGAGGGAGAGCCCAAAGTTTATCTGTCTCAGAAATTTATTCACCAGGACACAAATACACTGAGGACAGAAATATTTTAGGTCCCAGGTCTAGGTTTGGTAGATTTATTGGAGAAAGGCACAGAATTGTGTTCTATCCTGGGTCTTTCTGAAAGGAGAAAGCATGTTTGGACATCTATAATTCTTCTCCAAGTAACTCTAATTTGTATTTTCAAACTTGAATTCTGGAATTCCATGTTTAAGCCACAATGAGAGTGTTAAAAATGATTGCAGGTCTTCTTCACTCGTGTACATTTTTTAACCTCTGTATAATAGATCTCAGTAATCTCTACGTCTTTTTTAGCTCTAAAATTTTAACAGGCTTTTCCCTACTTGTAACATGGTGTTTTTCACTTTTTCAGAAAAGTGGGAAATCGACCCGTCTGAGTTGGCGTTTATAAAGGAGATCGGCAGCGGGCAGTTCGGAGTGGTTCATTTAGGTGAATGGCGGGCCCACCTGCAGGTGGCCATCAAGGCCATCAGCGAAGGCTCCATGTCTGAGGAGGACTTCATTGAAGAGGCTAAAGTGATGACGTAAGTACAAGCAATACCCAGGTACATATCTTGCAACACTTCGGTATCATGGAAAGAACGTGGATTTTGGAGTCAGTCACACCTGGATTTGTCACAACCCTGCTGCCCGAGCTAGTCATGTGACCTGGGCAAATTTTTAACCTCCACGGGGCCTGGATGAGTTACTCCCCCTTTCCAAGCCTCGATTTCCTTACCTGTAAAATGGGAGTATCAATACCTACCTTACTGGAGCAATGTGTGTATTAAATGAGATAATCTAGGAAAATAACAAAAATGTGTGTTCTTTTCAGCTCAATAATAGGGCTTAAAGAAATGCAGTTTTTTTCCTTTTCCCAGAAGTAAAAAATGTTGACTCTGTCTAAAGAAATATAAGGATAAGGTATTTGCTTTCAGAGGACTGAAGAATCCTGAGCTTTAACGGAGTAGCCCTTTGTAGACCATTGGATGCTGCTCCTAACTGCTGTGATTTCTCAGGTCAGCATTTTCACTCAGTTGAACCTGTGGCTGTGTTTTTACATCCATAACCTGGCCTAGATCAGGACATGCCAATAATATAGCACAAATCAAATAAACTTTAAGTATTTGTTCAACATTTACTTAGAGGAGCAACGATGTGGTAAAGAAGAAAAACCCGGATTACCTAGGTTCTCTTTTATTACCTAAAGCAATTTATTTCTATTTTGAACTTGCAGACTTCAATTGAAAAACCAACCAACCAACAAGTATGACAAACAAAACAAAACAAAACAAAACAAAAACCGGAGATGATTAACTGGACCCATTCTCCTTTGAGGGCAGAACAATACTGTCTCAACCTATACCCTAAGGGTCTATCCACTTAAAATCATTTTTGGGAAAAAGTATGATAAACACAACTTTGCAGTGACATCGGCTTCCCAAAGATTCTTTTGCGCGCTTAGGTTGCCCTAACTGATGTTTGCTCTCCAATGCTAACTGCATCCGAACATGGTTTTCCTATATCTAAGAGAAAAAATTCCTGTGTGCTCGGTTAAATAGGCATAATAAGAGGAGATCCATTTGGAAACATGTGATTCAGGGAAAGTTGAAGTCATGTTGAAATTCCTATCAAACAAGAAAGAATAAGAGCTGTCTGATGTCATGGTGAGGGGATTCTTGAAAGGTTCAAGTCTTATTGGGCATTTGGGGTCAGGATTTCTGAGGATGACAGTTTGAGGGTGAAGTAAGATGCATGGAGTGTGGGGAACAGAAATAGCTCTTGGTTCTTTACAGAGGCAGAAATGAGGAGACTGAAGTCCTATTTTTAAGTTAGTTCAGATAGACATAATGTATTCTTGCATTTGCTCATAGACAATTTTTTCCTGATTTTTTAAAAAAGTGAGGTAGGAAAATTTCCCTTCTGATTTCTGTGTAATACAAATACATTCATCTTTTAAAAATTAAATAGCTGACACATATCAAACTCAATCTGGCAAATATATAAGCTTGGTAATATACATGTTACATTGTATATGTACATATATGGTAATATACATATTACCTCCTTCTTGTTAATATGTAAATGGCACCTCCACCAGGAAGTCTTCCCTGACTATCCTGTTTAATTGGCATACACACTCCCAAAAGCTTTTCATTATATCATTTTGTATTAGTTCCATCAAAGCCCTTGTCTCTCCTCCAAAGCTTCAGATATATTTGTTTTGTTTCTCCCCCACTAGAATGTAAGCGTCATAAAAATAGGACCTATTTTCTCTCTTTCTACAACCTGGTGAGTGCCTAAAATGATGACTAGCATGTAGTTGGTGTTCAAAAAATGTTGGTGGATTGTTAAATGAGTTAATGAATCATCACAATTCTATAAGGTAGGTTCTATTAAGATACCAATTTTATAGATGAGAAAAAGAAAATTTTGTAAACTTACCTAATTTGCCTATAATCTCACAACAAAAGCATTGGAAGTGTTTTTAATTGAAATAAGAACTATGAACTGGGCACAAAACCAATGATCTCAAATTAGCTAACATAATGATCAATGAACATATTTATTAGGCAACAATATGGGCTAGATCTTATAGTAGTTGCCGTAACTGTTAACCAGAATTGTTTGCATCCCATGTAGTTTTTCCAGTGCAGTAAAAGGACAACTTTAAATCTCTACTGTGCTCTTACTCGCTATATTTTAAGATGTAGCCTTCTTTGGGGGCCTGTATTCATGAGGTTTGCCAGAACATCTGCTAAAGATGATTTAGAAGAATGAAATTAGACCAGGCTTTTCCCTGCAAGACAAATTAAGCCTGTAAAAACCTATTAAATTAAAAAAAAAACCCTTTATATTTTTACCTTGGTTTATGCTTTTTATAATATATTCACATATATGATCTTATTTAATGTTCACTGGAAGGAAAAAGGACAGATTTTATTATCCCCATTTCACATATTTAAAAAAAACAACCCTGAGGCTTAGAAAGTTTAAAGAAGTTGCCCTGCATCAGTCCTCCAACAGGAACTAAAACTTGAATTCAGCTCTTTCGATTAGGAGAATTACATTTTCTTTAAATCATTACAACACTGCATTGCCTTTAAGGGATTCTTCATTTTAGTTGTCAAACTATGGGTTTGTGTCTCTGGGTGTAGCTTATTCATGCAATATATCATATGGAGATATATGAACTAATTATATTTATAATCATAAAATGTATGTATAGTAATTTTAATTTCTCTAAGACCTTTTTCACTTCTATCTCATTTCATCCTTTATTTCTACATCATCATGTTTTCATGCTAAACTCATTTAGGTCTTGAAAGAAAAGCTTTAACATTACAAGGTCATATTACACAGAGATAAATAAAGTAAAAACTGAGAACACCCCAATCTTTTTGCCCCATCCTTCCTAAGTGTTTCTCTCTGAGGGTAATTAATACAGGTAATAAAATAATTTAATTTAAATAATTTTTATTATTCAATTTTTTTTTTTTTATGCATCAACTACCCTTCCCTCCCTCTTGTCTGTCCAGAATTTGTTCTTTTTGTCTGAGCAGCTACAGTTAGGAAGCTTGAAACTCAGGGAACAAAAACTACAAGACCTGGGCCAGGAGTAACAGTGACAAGGAAGCAAAGAGCTTACAAAATGGAAATGAGAAAAAAGAGAATATGAGGCACGTAATATTCTGTATCTACAGAGACTTAGGCAGTTCCGCTTACACTCTAGACCACACTTTTTCAGCACATACAGTGGAAAGGAAACCACTGCTTGCTCTGTGGTTGGGTTCATTCTTATCGTATCTCGACGATGAAAATTATATAGAGATGGCAAATAATCACCAGGAGAGTCTAAACATTTTGAAATGCAAAAATGGCTCTATTCACCAGTATGTGTTTTTCTTCAACAGGAAATTATCTCATTCAAGGCTGGTTCAGCTTTATGGAGTGTGTATTCAGCGGAAGCCCATTTACATTGTGACGGAGTTCATGGAGAATGGCTGCCTGCTTAACTATCTCAGAGAGAGGAAAGGGGAGCTGAAGAAGGAAATGCTGCTGAGCATGTGCCAGGACATATGTGAAGGCATGGAGTATCTGGAGAGAAACTGCTTTATTCACAGGGATTTAGTAAGTGTGGTGCAATTTTGCTGATTATTTGATGTATTATATTCAGAAGGACATACAATTAAGGACTTTCGATACTTTGAATAATGAATAAATTGGCTTAAATTTTAAAACATTTTCTCCTCCATGTAATTTGATTGGAAGTGTAACTTTATTTTTAATTGCCCACTGATGCTGTAGCCAAGCAAGGTGTTACCCTAAATATGCCTGAAACTAATCAACCACCGCACTAAATAACTAACACTAATTTATGTTTCTTTCCTCTCTCCCTCTCTCTTTTCTTCTTTTTCTCCTCTCTTCCTTTCTTCCTGTTTTCCTTCCTTCCTTCCAATAATCAAATACAATATGTATTGAGTGCCTAGTAAATGCCCAGCGCTCTGCCAGGCACTGGAGATACGATAGATAAGAACAAGCTCCAGTGGCCTCACTGGGGAGAAACTGACCCGTGTGGAACTGGTTCGGTTCCAACAGGAGTGTATCAGCCTTACTGGCATGAATGAGGAGGACTGCAAATGCTAAATCATTCTGTTCTGTCATGTTCAGAGCAGTTCTACCAAAGGGGGGAAAAAAGGAGGCAAGCCTTGTCTTGCTTCACATGCTTATAGCTCTGCTTTTCTGCTTTGCTTCCTCCCCTTGAAAAACATTTTCCATCTATTCCGCATTTATTCGTGATAGTCATACTATTCCTTCTATGCTCTTTCATGTCCCATTTCTGAGTCCAACGAGAATCCTATGAGAAATCCCTGATACTGTCACCAGAGGTAAGCCTGTGTACTCCATCACCCATGACCAGAATGGCCATATTATTCACCATTCAGGCACAAATATTTTGGAGAGAGAAAGGAGGCATAATTCCATTGGCCCAGAGCACCAGTGCCTGCCCTACACATGACTTAGAACTCTCCTGGCATTTATTTTTTCTACTTCCTAATTATTTATATTGTTTACACAAATGCTAGACTCTAAACTCCTGGCGATCAAGGTCTAGGAGCTTTTCAAACACCACAATATCCAGATCATACCCCAGAACAATTAACCAGAATCTCTGGAAGTGGAATCCAGCCATCGATAGTTTTTGAAAAATTTACTGGCGAGTCCACTGTGCAGTCAAGATTGAGAACTGCCGCCTTAGAGCTAGACTCCCTGGGTTGAAATCCTGCCTCTGTTTCTTACTAGCTAAGAAAGCTAGTTAACTAGAAAAGTGACATTCATTATAGCGCCTCCCTCATATGGGCTTGTTTGGGAGAACTACATTAATTAATACGTATAGGCACTTCAAACAGTGCTGGCACATAGGAAAGCTCAGCAATGCTAACCATGGCTATTGTATAGCTAGACCATTCTTTTGCATCCCTCACAGCACATTCCCCAGTGTCTCGCATGTAGTAGCTACTGAGCAGATTTTTGAAGGATAGATACAACATCAGTTCTACCTCACTCACTGTCCTTGTCTCTGCAGGGCGGCCTCTCCTGATAAGGATTAGAATTCAAAACTCAGGTGACAGTTTTGATTTGTTCCAGGTGACTTCTTGCTGACTCTCCTGCCCTTGGTTTCTTCTTTCATTGTTTTCCTTCATGTTCTATTTTATCCACTTACGTACCATTTGAAATATGTAAGCTAACAAGGAGCCTTTCTCTGAAAAGGGCTTGCTTGTGGTCTGGCTTTGAGATCATTGCTAACCCTTGATAGCATATTTCCAGCTGGCTCCTTCTGACTTACCATTTTGAGATTCTTGCTTTTTTGTTTGTTTGTTTGTTTGTTTGGACTAACTACCCTACAAATTTGCTGAAAAGAAATTCTATCAAACCATTGACCTATATAAGACTAACCAAAATAATAATTTTCTTGATTAGGTTGACTGAAAATGGATTGTTTGGCATCAAATAGATTGTCTCTCCATTATATAGTATTATATTTAGTTCACTGTGGTAATTTTGAGAAATGTAACAGTATCATTGTAAGTAGTTATATTCAATGAGATATGTTTTAAAATATAATTTCTTACTTTTTTTGGGCAGTTATAAGTCCCAAAGATATGTAATGACTATCACTTATTTGTCATGTATATTGGACCTACTTTTTATTTAAAATAAATTTAAAAATACACAGTATTTTTATGTCAAGATTCATAGTTTATCATCTCTTAAGTCCTTATTAAGATTGAATTAATATTTATTGAGGCTACTTTCTGAAAGATTAAAAATCTTAAAAAAGATTTTTTACAATCTTTTGTAAAAAGAGTATTACAATTTCATTATACTTTTTTCTTTCTTTGAAGAATCATTAAAATCCACCATGTGAGGGCAGGTATATTGAATTGTGTATCACTGACCGATGTCACCATAAAATAACCTAGCTGCCCACACAGAGAGGAAGTGTGGGGGTCCCAAATAAATGAAGAAAAAAATAGAGGGGAAACTCTTGAAATGAAACTTTATTCAAACTTGGGTCCTTTTCTTCTTTCTATAGGCGGCAAGGAATTGTTTGGTCAGTTCTACAAGTGTAGTAAAAATTTCGGACTTTGGAATGACGAGGTACTTGATATATATTTTTTATTGTTGTGTACTTATAAAGAGAATCTTGCATTTGTCTACTGACAAACTGAAAGATGATATTGGCTTTGCTCCGCCCCCCCCGCACCCCGTTCATGTGGTTGTATGGCCTGCTGACCCACTTTGAATTTTAGAACACGCACCAATTTTAGCTGTGAGGTAAACAGATGCTGTGGGCACTTCTGATCTTCTTTCCCATTGTCATGAATGACACTGTGACATGTCTTAAAATTAAAAGTAATTTCTCAGTCCACTCATGATATGTGTAAGATTCAGAGAAAAGCTTTTCTGAGATATATGTATCTAACCATACGTTTTATAACTCCTTGCAGTTTATACTTTGAGCCCCTTTCCTTCAGGTTGCTAGAAATTTACACCCAGTTAATTCAGGGTTTCTCCTTGACTTTCTTTAGGGCCCAAACCCCAGTTCTGCATGTTTCTTGCATAATACCGGTAGAGAGACAGCCGGCCTGGTCCTTGTTACTGTCTCTGGTCCATGGACACTGGCTTCCTTGCAGTCGCCTTCCTCTCAGTTTGCACTTGGCTGGCCATCCACACAGGCAGCCGCTGACTCCCCCTAAGTTTCTGTCTGCAAGATTTCTTTGTATCTTGCATTCTCTGTGATAGGACCGCTCTACTGTAGGCTCCCTTTCCTTAGGTACATCCACAGCTTTTTGTTCTTTACTATCTCTCTGCCTTTCCTGGGCCTCTACCTGGGAAAGAAGGTACAGGCTCTGGTTTGCTCCTGAGTCCCACTAACCCATTGCGGGGAAGTGGGGACTTCTTTCTCCGCTCTGCGACCCGGGCAGCTCACGTAGAGTCAGGACCCCACCTCAGCCACCCACTGATGGCTTCTCTTTCCCTTCTATGGCCCTACTTCCCAGCTCAAGGGACATTTTTCTAGAGGGACAGGTAGGGGAGGTGGTGGTGGTGGGGAAGTCTCACTCTTATTCAGGAGCCATTCTCCCAATTATTTTGTTAATTATTCCATCCTTCTCTGGATAGCCTAGACTTTTGAAACTCAAAAGCTATGAAGAATGGCTCTTTTCCCTTTTGTTTTCTTGTTTCATTCTTTCCCCTTTGTAGGATGACCTCTGGCTCAGTAAAGGGCTTAGAGATGAGGTGAGGTAGAATGTGTAGGGGAAAAAAGCGACATGTGGGGAAGCATTAATAAATAAACTGAAAAGTACTATACTGTACTATACTGCATAGCCAAGGGGCTACATAGCACAAGTTAGCTGTCATCTCTTCTCTCAGATGCTCATACTTGGATATTTCTGCAAACAATTCTCAAAAAAGAGAGAGGGTTTAATTTTTTGATTTTTTAAAAGGGAGATGGTAACTGCTGCTGATTTCTTTCCATCACAGGGCATAAATTCTACTCATCTAGAAAATCAACTCAGGCGACAGTTTCACACCACAGACACTTGCAAGGAAAATTGATGGTGTCATTGAATTTTGAGTGTGTGCATTATTTTGAGTGGTCACTTTAATGCATTAGAAATTTTTCACATCAAATGAATTATGTTCAAATCCTTTTATTTCTTTTATTAAATCCTTCTTTGCCCCATAAAAATATACAGAAAGAAAATAAGGCATTCAGCTTTGAATTTCACCTTTTCTATTACATATTTATTTTTTATTTCTTTTTCATAACCTTGGTTGTTAGGCCATTGAGCATGCTTCTTTGCAGATTTTATTGTAATTAGCATAATCAGTAGTGTATATGTTGGACTAAAGAATTGCTATGGGTTTCCAAGACCCAAATAAAATAAACATGGTTGAGGCGTGGTTTGGGCAGGAAACACTATAAGGGCTACTTTCCCACTTTGGAAACAGAAAAAGAAGGTATATAGAGCCTTTCTGGGCTAAAACACTTTGTCTTCTAGAGCTGAGTTAACTGAATGGATTTATAAGCCAAACTGGGAGGTAACACAAAACCCAATGTGCTTTGAAATTTGATGACCGTAGGTACGTTTTAGATGATGAATACATCAGTTCTTCTGGAGCCAAGTTCCCAGTCAAGTGGTCCCCTCCTGAAGTTTTCCATTTCAACAAGTACAGCAGCAAATCAGATGTCTGGTCATTTGGTGAGTGAATCTGATGTTTTTTAACTGCAGGTTGAGTTCATAAAATAGGCCAGTCTCTTTAAACTTCGATTTCTTAATATGAAGTTGCATTTTTTCAAAGTATTCTTTTAAAAAAATGTTTTTATTGTATTTTTTTCCATTACTGTGCTTTCTGTCTTAAATACTCTAAACACATCCAGTCTGTCTTTGACAACTGGTATCCTTCACATTCTTACATAAGTATACCTTTTGGATCTTTTCTTTCCCCTTGAGCACTTGCTATTAAACCATTAGAGGGCATAAATTCTGCTCACCTAGAAAACCAACTCAGCCAACATTTCCACACCACAGAGACTTGCAAGGAAAATTGATCTTATGATTTTGTCATTGTCATTGACTTCTGAGTGTGCATAATTAATAAATTCATTGCCTAACTACTAAGCGACATCACCTAATTTGCTTCATTACCTTCAAATTTTGTGGAATTTAGACATAGGCCTCCTTGGGAGCCGTTGATTGATGTTTACATTGGGTAATGTTCTTCACTGAGAAAGAGACACTGTAGACCAGTGCCCTGTGGAGTTTGTTCTTTAAATGATTTTTAAAAAGTAGCAACAAATATGTGATAATCTATCTACTCTCTTTCACTCAGACTTTCCTGGATGGCTTCTTGGGTTTGGAGGAACAGCTGTTTCCTCAGAAGGGTGTGGATTTTACTGGCACAGTAAGGTTCAGCTGGTATTGTTGATCTCATTAGCTCTCCACTGACTTGCGGTAGTCTTGGCAAGTGACCTTTTATGCTCTATTGGAGAGCAGTTAAGTTGTAACACCAATGGATAGCAATCCAAGGGCCTCATCAAGTGGTTTCAGAACAACTAGAACTCCTTGAGTTTTATCTGACCACTTATCTCTTTTCACGTCAACCCCACCTTGGACGGTGAGGCTCTTGAGCACACGGACTGGTCTTGTTCTTAAGGATCCTCAGACTCTAGCATAGGCCTGGTCTCTAATCAATACCTACCACAAATGTGTAGAATAAGTGAATAAAAATGAACTCAAATTGGGAGACTTGAAGAAGTTTCATGAATTAATCAGTTAATCCGTCAGTGATAACTGAACATCACTTTATGGACAGAGCCCTTGCTAGGTGTTGCATTGCTCAACCCAGCAGTTACCCTCCATCGGGGGAGGGGAAGGCCTGCCATCCGCTGGCTGGCAAACTCTTGGCTTTAGCAGGCAGCAGAGGCGCAGGCAATTGTGCCATTTTATGTGGAATGGCAAAAAGGGTTTTTAATTTCAGGGCATGGGGACATGAGGATATTTAGAAATGAAAACGCTGGCAGCATTTTCTTCAATAGGGAGGCAGACAAGGACAATGGAAAAGGAAAGGCATTGTTTTCACTTGGAATATTTTCAGATTACAGGCCTGTTTGAAAACTAAGATGCACACAATGCACTTCCTAGATGGAACTGCTCTCATTCTCGGGGATTATAGCTCAAAGGCTGGAAGAGGAAGATAATGCCATGGAGTATGGAACAGCCCTTTCAGTTTCAGTTGACCATTTCTCTCTCACCTTTGGTTTTTATGTGTTATATTTGCAGGAGTTTTGATGTGGGAAGTTTTTACAGAAGGAAGGATGCCTTTTGAAAATAAGTCAAACTTGCAAGTTGTGGAAGCCATTTCTAAAGGCTTCAGGCTGTACCGCCCCCGCCTGGCGCCAATGTCCATCTATGAAGTCATGTACAGCTGCTGGCATGAGGTGAGTGTCTCTTACTTCCCTGTGGAGGCTGGGAGTCCTGGCATCTGAGAGCCAGACTTCAAGGTCCATCCCGGCAGGGAAAGAGTCTGTTTCTCGGTAATGTCCCCTGAGAGCCGGAAGTGCTGTTTCTACCGGAAACTCCCACTACGAGGTCATTAATCCATTTTGCTTCTAAAAGTGGCCTTTCATCTGAGAAATTCAGGGTATTGTCCAAGTCACGTCTCCCTGAGATTGGCTCCTGCAGCAACTCCTGCTGTCAGTCAAGCCTCGGTGATTAGATGTTTTCCACCTTCTAGAACTGGTGGGTGGAAACTAAGGGTAGAACCAGGTTTGTTAAACTTCCACATTGAAAGGGAAGGATGATGTGTTTATTCGCTTCACTCTGATCTGTCTTGCTTTTCCAAGGCCGAAAGTAATGGGTTTCATCCCTCTTGTGACATTCAAGGCTCCTGACAGAGAGATTATACCAGAGCAGGAATGAAGACAGAAAGTGTGCCAGGAACTTCTCCTCAGGAAACTCTCTCTCGGGAGCCCAGTTTCTCTTTTTCTTGAAATACCAAGCTTAAAAACAAAGCCAGAGGGGTTCTGTCTCACTCCTGTCTTTCCTGGGCACTGATTCAGCACACCCTTCCTTTCTTATCAGACTCTCCTGGGATTTTGACAGCTCCTCGCTCTTTCCAGCTGACAGTTTCAGTCCAGAAAAACCACAGCAGAGTGAAAAGTTTCCTCCTGGCTGAAAAAGAAACCACTCCATTCCCAATCCACACACACTGGAAAATTCAGTATTTCAAGAGTGATGTGGTTGTTCACATTCTAGAGAAGTATTAATTAATATAAAGATGCCTGGTGTGTGAAATTATTTTACATATGACTAACTGCTTTGCAAGGAATCCTGAAAGCTGTTAGTAGCAAAGAGTTGTCCTAAGAGCATCTCTGCATTAACATTATAAATAGCTCAGGAATATATATTGTATACAAAGCAATAGACGCATACATGTACATTGCAATAAAATGCTTATTGAGGTTCTTTATTTTGTGGAGAGGAGACAGAGAAGGGGAAGGGAGGACCAACTAAATGACATCAGTCTCAAATTAAAGTCAGAACATGGATTAAAATAGTGTTTTGGTTATGTTGATTTACTTGTTGGCAAAAGTTGATTTTGCCTACAAATTTTTAATGTAATCTAAAAGCCCCACATAACTATAATGGCATTGATACACACATTTCATAGTGTCTAGTAACTGTAGAACTTCAGCCCCTGCAAAAAGCTCCTGGAGTCTCAGGGAGGATTCTCATCTGTGCTCACATATTCTTTTGTTCTTTTATTATTATTATTATTATTACTCATAAGCCACAAAGAATGGTGTCTCCCTACCAACCCTGCCGCCTATGACCTTTGTGGGAAGGTGGCTGCATGAGTAGCCCTATTTGCCGTGGATTTCAAAGAGGCCAGCAGGGTCATCTCCTCTTCCTCATGGAGTCAAAGCTAAACCACATCGCTCTGTGAAATAGGAAACTGCTCCAACTGTTGGCACAGGCCGGGGACTTTGTTGACTGAGCCTTAAGGCAGAACGACGTGTGCTCTAGGAGCTGAAAAGTCTCTCATGAAAACATGGCTTTTTATTTTTTTAACTGACATCCTTTTTTTCTATAGGGGATCAGATGTAGTGAATAACTGGGACTGAGCTCGGGAGCCTGGTGCTCTCGATGCTCCCTCTTTCCCAGCTCTTCCTTGACCTCACACCTACCAAGTCGTCCAAAGAGGCCTGGGGCCGTGCTGTCCAAGAGCTGTGGTAGTGGAAACGGGCTATGTCCCTGCTGTCCAATACGGCAGCTGCGCCTGGCTCTGAAGATTTGAAAAGTAGCTGGTGTGTCCAAAAACTGAATTTCCAAATGTATTTCATTTTAATGAGTTGAAATTTAAATGGCCATGCATGGCTAGTGTTTGCAGCTCTAGCCATTTCTATCTCTGCAACGCTCTCTCCTCTTACATTTTCACACTCATACCTTGCTCCACTGCCAGTCGTGCCCTGTGTGTCTGCCGAGTTGTCTTTCTCTTCCATTTGTGGAGAACCGGCCTGGGTCCCTGCCAGCAAGTTCCGCAGCTGGTATCTGAGTGAGCCTTCAGCTGAGCTGACCACCTCTGCTTCCCTTTTCCAGAAACCTAAAGGCCGCCCTACGTTTGCTGAGCTGCTGCGGGTCCTCACGGAGATTGCAGAAACCTGGTGACTTGAGTACAGTGCCAACCCAGAGGATCATGTTGCAAAATTGTCCCGAAAGGAACTCCTGCATGGGGTCACTGATGGAGACTCTCTTCCTTCAGGGTGGCTGACTCTTGGAAACTTCACCAACATCACGGGCTTTCCAAACTTAAGCATGTGTTTGAGAGGCAGTTCTAATGTCTTATTTTTCTGTAACATATTCATGGCCTGTATGTGAAGATGGAAAAACAATGCTCAATGACATTTGTAAGAACAGCCCTGAGAGTCCATGGAAACATCACTCTTTACAGGACTGAGGATTTGGACGTCCTGAAGAGGGCGACATTCTTGACTTCAGTCGTCCATGCACAGAAGATGAAAATAAATTCTGCCACCTCATGGAATTAAGAGCCTCCCCTGCAGAACCTCATGCCTTTGAGCTGTACAGGTCTTTATAGAAAAGGCGGCCTTCCAAACCACAGGAATGTGGTGAGCACTCTGGAACTGTCTTGTATAGTCTTCCCTATGTTATTTAATACGTTGTTTTTGCACGCATCTGATACTTTCGGAGACACTTTCTTGTATCCCAGTGTTAAGCACTGCTGCAGGAGATAACCGAAGTTGCTCTTTGAACAGTTGCTGGTGACATTTTCATTTCCAGCGGTGCCCATTGTCAGGGGCAATTCAGAGCCTGAATCTCAATTCTAAGACTTCACACTTTGTCCCTGTGAAACTGGACAAGTTAAGAGGCCTTATTTTGCCATAAAACGTTACCTCCTGCACCTTTCCAGATAATGACTTGGTCTTTCCACGAGAATGAGAGGGAGGCCAAAAACAAGAAAACCAAATGTGACGTCACCACACCTTTATTTCTGAAATCCAGGGTTTTGAATTCAAGATTAGGTAACTAGTAATCATAATTAAATCTTAATTTCTCAGGCACTGTTTGTAGGAGCAATGGAAATTGATCTTTATCATTCTGAGTGCTTCAGAAGCACTATGGGGAGAAGGGTACGGCAGAAAGTGCCAGCATCATCACCGTGAGGTCTAATAACTGGTGTCTATTATTTCTATACTCTCCTGCCCTGCATCGTGGCTCTGAGGGAATTTGTTCTATAATTCTCTTTAGAGTCTAAGTTGCTGGCTCTCAGTAGTTATGATTTTTAAATCAAAAACATCTCTAGAACATTGCCATATGTCCCTTCTTGGGCAAAGCTGCCCTTGGTTAAAAACCACTGATGTAGTTACAAAAAGTTCTAGACCTGGGATTAAGGAGATCCATGAAGCTGAGTGAAAAGGAACCCCACAACTTTATTTTTACTGACCTCTTGCTAAAATTTAGCATTTCCTGTGATTTTAAATGTAGGCAAAAACAAAAAACAGTACCTATATTAGCAGTTTCTGTGGTTGTTATAATATGAAAAACTATTATTTTCATACGCTACGAGAGGTGTTTCAGTTTGTTTGAGAGAGAATTTGCATTCATCACCATTTCCAAGTCAGGCTTCTTTAAAAACTGCATTTTAACTCAGTAAAAAAAGACATTATTAAGGCACAATTATTAAGTTAAAATATTATGGTAATTTCAGTATAATTGCTTACCTTGTTAGTTCTATGTATTTTTAGTTTGTGCATTTAAACACAGTATTCCGGGAAGAGGTATTAAGGCTTCAACAGGGTTACTGAAGGTATAACCCCTGTACCAAACAGTTTCTGAATCTGGAAAAGCCTCTGCTGGTCCACTCACAACCAATCAGCAGCTTATCAATACCTTAAGTGAAACCCCATAAGGATTTAATCATGGCCGGTCATGTCGGCTATTCCCCAGGGTGCACATCCATCCAGGCCCTTTACTCGCTCAGAGCCACCTCCCTCCCTGCTCTCTATTGTCAGGGCTGGTTGTTGGTTCCGGTTTACATGTCTTCTTTTTCACCTGCCTTGTGCCCCTACAGTGAGACCCGGGGTGTGGTGAGTAGAGTCTCAGCTGCCCCTGTGTGTGGCACAGACAGAGAGACTGGATCCCACCCGGCCCCAGCAGCCTGCCTGGGGAGTCCAGCTCCGCATGCGCACTTCAGCCTCTTTTCCTCCAGAGCTCCTATAGCTGACTGGTCGGAGGGAGAGAAAATAGATGAATCAAATCTCCCTGGAGGCCAGGGTGGCTCCATTCCACTTCCAAACACGGTGGCACAAAACCCCCAACACAACAAACACTCCAACTGAGGCTGGCATTTTGACTGTGTTCACAGGTGGGGGGCGGTGCTTCTGGTATCTGGTAGGTAGAGACCAGTCATACTGTTAAATGTTCCACAGTGCACAGCACGTCCCTCACAACAAAGAACTGTCAAGCCTAATATGTCAGTAGTGCCAAGGATGAATAGGGCGGTATTGGCCATGTGACTGTGAAGTCCAGGGGTGCAGACTTCACCATGATATCGTAATGCCAGCTCCATTTTCGGTCTTCAGGCTGCCTCCGTTTCCTCGCCTCCCCACTCCCAGGTGAACAGTGGCTGCTGGAGCCCCATACTCACCTCAACACACCGTACCGTCCAGAGGGAGAGAACACCTTCGTCCCAGCAATTCCGCCCGTCCCACAGCCGCATGCCTCCTTCATCCGCGTTATCTACATGGTTTGCTTTCTTACCGCCTCCAGGTTGTTGCTTAAATGTCACTCTCTTTGTGAGAGATTTCTATGATCACCCTATTTAAAAGTGTGCCCTTGCCATGAACATTCTCTGTCTCCCTTTTCTGTATAACTCTGCTCTTAACATTTTATAACAAATCATTTATTTCTACTTATTTATTTGGTCTATTGTCTGTCCCTTTCCTCCTGCAACTGTAAACATGTGTGAGGTCAGGTATTTTTGTCTGTTTTATTCGCCGCTGTATCCCCAGTTCCTAGAACAGGGCCTGATACAGAGGTAAGCTAAATAAATATTCATAAATGACCCAATGCAATAAAAGTAGTGGGTTAATCCAGAAGTTTCTTTTTCCAGAGATGGCTGTTGAGTTTGCTACACGGCAATCCTCTTGGGGTTCTGGCTAAGCCATTGCTTTCCCACACAGTAGGGGACCATTTTCTCTCTGGTTACAGTATGTAACCTCAGCTGGTCATCAGTCTTTCTTTGTGGTAGAGATCTGAATTTTTCAGGAACAATTTGACTTACACATAATTTCCTCTATGTCATCATACCTATTTACATAGATAAAAAACACATTATGTTAGGGATTGACATCAGATTAATGGGGAAAAAAACCGATACCTGAATAAATCTATAGAGAAATATAAATCCATATAGACAGAAAGTATTTAATAGAGAGAGTAGATTATCTGTGTATCTACAGCACAGGTGAACATTTCCTCACACTTCTGCCAGTTGTGTGTCAACTGGCCTGTAGCTACGTTATTTTGTCTTTAGCCATCCTGTTTTCCTCATGTGCTCCTACTTGCTGGGTAGCACTGGTAAAACTCAGTTTAACTCAGTCACCTAACTCTAGTCCAGTGCAGAAGGAAAATATTTCCATGGGTGAAGTGGGTAGTCTCTCAAATTTTTGTCTTTCTCTCTGTTTCTGCCAAACTGGCAAGTAGGTATAGAAGGGAGAGGGGTGGCTTTATCCGGGGGTGACAGTCAAAAGACTTAGCAGCTGATTTAGCACAGACGCAGACCAATCAGAACAGATGTTGACTGCAATAATCAGACCAGTCCTTCCAATGCAGACTCTATCAGCCCTGGCAAGGTGACCTTGAGGTGGTGACGTGAATGGGAGGGCTGTTTGGATTAGAGAAGTGTCCCCTGGCACCTCTGGTCATTTCAACAACATTTCTTATCAACCTGGTTGCTGCTTGACCTGCTAGCATTTGCACAGTAAATTGGTGGCTGTGTGGGCCGGTCTCTCCAGACTTGGTGAGGACACAGAGGCCCTTCCTGGCTGGTGTGACCTTGTCCCAGCTCATGCTGGCTCTATAAGACTCCTTAGGCTCTTCCATTTGCCCCTGAGGTTCACCTGCTGGTGTAGCAGCAGAGGCTGCAGGTCACTCTGCCCCTTGAGTCATGGGCACCATCAGTGCTTCTGGCTCTCAGTTCAGCTTCTTCCTCAGTCCCATATTGATCATATTTGGGAACTTCTGGGTCTTGTCCATATCACATGGGGTCTGGGAATAGCTCAGAAAGTTAAAACTCTGCAACACCACACTTCTGCCCCTACTTCTCATCACTCTGCTTAATCGTGTTATGATGCAGTTTGCCACGGCTACTTTCTGGACTTGGACAGCAACTGTTTGTGAGGTAACCCCCTCCAGGAATCTGAAATATGAACCAGAGCAACCTCTCCCCCACCACGGGCAGCACCCTGCCCTGGGCCCTCCTGTCACAGCGATACCTTCGATCCATCTAATACCACTGTCCCACTTCCCACAATTCACTGGGCCCGAGGATGTTAGATTTTTACTTCCTTTTCCTGGCCTGGTCCTCACACATTAGAATAATCTGAGACTTTTTGGAAAATACTGCTGTCCAGGTCCCACCTTTTCACCTGCTTCCCATTCTGATTTAATTGCCCTGAGGGCGACCCAGGCATCGGTGGTTTCAAAACAAATTACCCCGAGTGATTCTCACCCGGAGTTGAGGGGCACTGCTCTAGGCCAGAGGTTCTCAAATTTCACTGCTTATTAGAGTCATCTAGGGGGATATTCAAAATCCTGGTGCCAAGGCTTCACCCTAGACCCCTTAAACCACAATACCTAGGGCAGCAGTTTTTAAATCTCCTTGGGCTGTTATGATGGCAGCCAAAAATGAGAACCAGTGTTCTTCTAGGCCAGTTCTTCTCAAACTTTAGGATACACACAGTCGCCTATGGATTTTGTTAAAATGCAAGTTCTGATGCAGTAGGTCCACGGTGGGACCTCAGATTCTGCACTTCTAACAAATTACTGGCTGAGGTCAAACGTGCAGGTCCCAGGAGACATTAATTGGGTTGGCCAAAAAATTTCATTTGGTTTTTTTCTTTAAGATGGTTCTGGAAGCACCTGGT